TATAATAATCCACCTAAAATATACAACACAACGTAATAATCAACCTAAAATATACAACACAATATAATAATCCACCTAAAATATACAACACAACGTAATAATCGTCCTAAAATATACAACACGATATAATAATCGACCTAAAATATACAACCTAATGTAATAATCGACCTAAAATATACAACACAATATAATAATCCACCTAAAATATACAACACAACGTAATAATCGTCCTAAAATATACAACAAGATATAATAATCGACCTAAAATATACAACACAACGTAATAATTGACCTAAAATATACAACACAATATAATAATCAACCTAAAATATACAACACAATATAATAATCAACCTAAAATATACACCACAATGTAATTATTTACCTAAAATATACAACACAATGTAATAATCAACCTAAAATATACAACACAACGTAATAATCGTCCTAAAATATACAACAAGATATAATAATCGACCTAAAATATACAACACAACGTAATAATTGACCTAAAATATACAACACAATATAATAATCAACCTAAAATATACAACACAATATAATAATCAACCTAAAATATACACCACAATGTAATAATTGACCTAAAATATACAACACAACGTAATAATTGACCTAAAATATACAACACAATATAATAATCAACCTAAAATATACAACACAATATAATAATCAACCTAAAATATACACCACAATGTAATAATTGACCTAAAATATACAACACAACGTAATAATTGACATAAAATATACAACACAATATAATAATCAACCTAAAATATACAACACAATATAATAATCAACCTAAAATATACAACACAACGTAATAATCGACCTAAAATATACAACACAATGTAATAATCAACCTAAAATATACAACACAACGTAATAATCGACTTAAAATATACAACACAATGTAATAATCAACCTAAAATATACAACACAACATAATAATCGACCAAAAATATACAACACAATGTAATAATCAACCTACAATATACAACAATAACATCAACAGATTGAGTATATTTCCCACTGCATCAGATATCAGGACTTTGAATTATGACAAAATTCCTTGTCACTACTGGATAAGAATTCCATCAAACCAGAACTTTTCAATGGTTTACAATTCAGAACCTTTCAGACTAACAATTTTGTCAAAGAATGTTCCAGTCAACTCATTTCTTTGTTACTCTATTATAATTCTCAACATTCTGTCCCAACAATAAGGTATATTACCCACGTATATTACCCACCACATCAAAAACAATAAGGTATATTACCCACCACATCAAAAACAATGAGGTATATTATCCGCCACATCAAAAACAATGAGGTTTATTATCCGCCACATCAGATATCGGGAGAGGCAGAAATGGCAGTAAAAAATTTCCCATCACAACACTGCGGACTAACAATCATGTGGCTTGTCATAATGAAAGAAATAAAACCAACCTTTAGTAGCTTTAGGGTTTTTTGGGTTGTCAGCAGCACACGTTGCACAGGTATGTAGGGGACAGAAATACGATTTCCCTTCAATACGACTCTGAGGATATTTCTTAAAACATTCTTCATGGTAGAATTTACCACATGATGATACAAGACATTTCCTTGTATCTGGACTAGCTACTTTACAACAGAAACATGTGTGTTCACCTAAAATATAACAATAGAGGGTTTCATAGAATATGTTGGATTCCCCCATCTTAGAAGCTTTCACAGAATGTGTCTGGATTTACCCATGGGAGGAGCTCTGTCTAGATTTACCTATGGGAGGAGCTCTGTCTAGATTTACCCATGGGAGGAGCTCTGTCTAGATTTACCCATGGGAGAAGCTCTGTCTAGATTTACCCGTGGGAGAAGCTCTGTCTAGATTTACCCATGGGAGAAGCTCTGTCTAGATTTACCCATGGGTGAAGCTCTGTCTAGATTTACCCATGGGAGAAGCTCTGTCTAGATTTACCTATGGGTGAAGCTCTGTCTAGATTTACAAGTGGGAGAAGCTTTCATAGAATTTCTCAGGATTTCACAGTCAATCTCCTGGATAGAATGCTGAAGATGATTAAAATCAAAATTTTGAACATATCAACTTTTAAGAACTTTTATTTTAACAAATTCTTAGGATGTAGAAATAAGATGAATAGATATCCATATAATTTATGTACTTTTCATGATCACAAACCTTTTATCTAAGAGCTTGCAAATACCCCAAACCACTTCTCAGAGTATTTATAAGACCTATGTCTATTAAATTAAAGTTAAAAAAAAAATACAGAAGAATCTGTACGAGCAGCACATCCCCCCCCCCCCACACACACACACTGCTATGATCCATTTAAATTCTATTAAACTTACTTTTAAGACATTCCCCACATCTAAATTCTCCGTCAGGATTCTCTGTCAGTGCCAGACATGTGGCGTGGAAATGACCTTGACATGCTCCCTGACACTCGATAAGTTGACCCGTTTGTTCACATATTGTACAGATATTCTCTCGTTTAGTCGTACTGCTAGCATGAAGTTTAAATATGTCCAACTCATATTCATCATCACCAGATTTAATCGTACTCTGTACAACGCGTGATTTCAGATCATTCTGGGAAAAGAAATCAATAGATATCAAAATAAATTCAACAAGTGGTTGCCATCAAAATACGGCCACATTTTGCAAGAGATGGACAGAGAACAATTGAAAAGGGTGATTTTTCGGACACTCGATCAGGGGCCATAACCAATGAAGTTAACTGTCCGATATGTGTATGTCATAACAAGGAGTTGAAGCAGGCCCGTAAATAGGGGGTAGGGGCGCAAAGCCCCCATCCCCCCCCTGCAAAAAGTTTTGCCCCCCCCCCTTCCCTGTGAAAAGATTGTCGACCATAAAAACAATAGATATATATGTCCGTCAATTTTACAGAACCCTCTGAGAACACTTCTCACACCCCTCATTGCTCTGAGCTAGTTACGACCCTGAGTTGAAGGAACCCAGATCTTTGGGATATAAACATATATTTTAAGTTTCATTAAAATTGGATAATAATTGTGACCTCTAGAGGTTCCACAAGCTAAAAACGTGATTTTTCGTATAATCGGGGGTCATAATCTAGGAAGATATGGTCTAATATGCGCGAACATCAAAAAGAACCAATATTTTTGGGATATAAACATTTATTTTAAATTTCATCAAAATCCTTTATGACCTGTAGGGGGTCCACAACCTTGGTATTACATACTTTAACACTATTTGCGTTCAAGGAGCGGCCATTTTGTTGGGCAGCTTGGGTCCGATTTCACGGAATTCGAACTCCACCCTCATTAGGGTGTAACAGTGATATATTTAACAGATTTGTAAAATTGGATAATAATTTTGACCTCTACAGGGTCCACAAGCTAACATCGTTATTTTTCATACAATCAGGGGCCATAATCCATGAAGTTATGGTCCGGTTAACGTGAATATCAACAGGAACGGAGATCATTTGAATTTAAACATACTTTTACACTATTTGCTAGTGAGGAGCAACCATTTTAGGGTGTAACGGTGATATGTTTGAACGGATAAAAACTGTGACCTTGTAGAGCGCGCACAAGCTAAAAACGTGATTTTTACGTACAATCAGGGGCCATAATTCTGGACAGGGGCGACGACAATATACGTCCTAATGAAAATATGGGTGTATACAAATCAATTGGCTGGAAATTAATTTATCGGCGATACTATACGATCACATTTCCAGTGCACGTAAAAGATCCCTTGGCATTTGAAATTCGCACCGCTGTCGGGGCAAAAGTTCCCTGATAGCACACTGTATGACGTATTCCTGTCTTTATTAGCACCAGTCAGAGTAGAACTTGTGCAGACTCTTCACAGTAAATATGGACGCAGAACTAATTTAACCTTAATAATAATCATTAGGAATATACTATGTTTAAATAATCATTTCTCGTCATGTTTGTATTCATCCAGAAAAAAAACAATTAAAATTTTCTGATGTTTTAGTTAATTGTCCAGGGAGGGACTCAACATGTGTGTAAAGCTTAATGGATGTGAATTTTAACTGAGATGTTTGAAATGAAATGTTTTTTTTAATATCCTACTTTTCTATAACAACTGATGTAATGAAGACGGGCCTACTCCATGCAGTGTGCTATCAGGACGGGCCTACTCCATGCAGTGTGCTATCAGGACGGGCCTACTTCATGCAGTGTGCTATCAGGACGGGCCTACTCCACGCGGTGTGCTATCAGGACTGGTCTACTCCACGCAGTGTGCTATCAGGACTGGTCTACTCCACGCAGTGTGCTATCAGGATGGGCCTACTCCACGCAGTGTGCTATCAGGAAATTTTGGCTGGGACAGCTTCCGCTTACTCTTCCTATTCTAACTGCCAAGGGTTCATTTATATGTTAACATGTACATGGGATTTCTGTTTTTTGTTCCATCTGAATGACTAGAGGTTGTTACTATACAGACCCTCCATCTTGTACCAATGACTAGAGGTTGTTACTATACAGACCCTCCATCTTGTACCAATGACTGGAGGTTGTTACTATACAGACCCTCCATCTTGTACCAATGACTGGAGGTTGTTACTATACAGACCCTCCATCTTGTACCAATGACTGGAGGTTGTTACTATACAGACCCTCCATCTTCAATAATGACGAGTCTACACCATACCGTGTGCTATGAATAAACTCAACGCTTTTAGTTAAGTTATTGCCTGGACAGTGGCAACAAGTTTACTCTTTATTTTGAATTCCTACTGTCAAGGGTTCTTTTACGTGCACGCCAATTTGTACACACCACTGACAAGGGGACATCACTCCGCCCTGTACCACTGACAAGGGGGACATCACTCCACCCTGCACCACTGACAAAGGGGTCATCAATCCATCCTGCACCACTGACAAAGGGGACATCAATCCATCCTACACCACTGACAAGGGGACATCACTCCACCCTGCACCACTGAGGAATAACTGTATAAGACTGTAAATATTGTTTATTTAGTAGAAAATACAACACACTGTTTAAACTACAAATTATTCTTCATTTATTTACAATTAATATATAATGTTACCATGACGACATTCATGTTTAAAATAGGCCTAAAATATCCCATAATTTTATTTTATATAATTACTCAAGTGATCATTTCAAAACAGGTGCTTGGGGAAAATATTTTTAACTCATTTACACATAATAGGTATTTTACTAAAATATTAACATTCGACAACATTTGGAAAAAAAAACTAATCAAAATTTTTCAATAAAATACTTGTTTTTACACTGAAACTTATCTTGAGGTCTCATGTTTATGATGGTCGTTTATTTATAAAACAAGGGAGAATATTTTCTAATTTTTTACATCTGTTCGAGGAATTAATGAAAACTACATCCGTGATAATAACCTACATTGATTTACAGACTAACTGATCGATCATTTCAATAGTTAAATTACCTAATTACTTGATCTAACCTTTTTACCGAAATCAACAAATTTAATAGAAATTTGTTTACCATTATTTTTATAAAATAACATTCTAACAAATATGAAAATAATTTTTAGACCAAGAACTGTGGCACAAGATATTGATTTTGTGTTTCTTGTGGGCGATGATCATTGAATAAAGCTTATGACTCAACTACTTCACGTACGGTCGACATAATTGTTCCTTGAACAATTGGGCATTGATTGACAGATTTTGATTTCTGACATCACAATTCTAATCTAATATGTTGGCACATACACAATACTTGATTTATTACATATACACGATACCCGGCCCATGATTTATTCACTGATGTTTAACTTACAAGTTTAACCAATATTTACTTTCGTTTTTAGACAAATCTGATTAAAATTTCGATTCATATTTTTATACTTTCGTCAGCCTCTACTACATGAAGATCTGACCAGTTGTTGCGGGAGGTCACGTCAGGGGTCATAAGAGCGGCTTTTGACCGTATGACGTCAGACATTGATTAATCAATCAGCGTTGACATTTCTAGTGGTTTACCCACAGTTCCGTGCACAGCAAGCCAAGAACTCGCCGGAACAGACCATTTCATTGGCTAATTCCTCACATCAACCAGAACGCTTGTTATATAACAACTCTTCCTGATCCTTGTGTTGTGAAGAGAAGTAAAACGAAACTTTGAACTGTTAAAAAACGAAATAGGATCTGTATTTTGATCTGATTGGTTTTTAGAGGATCTCACATTCATTGTCAAAAAATCATGATCAAAGATATCCTGGTTTCATTGCGAGACCCACTTTTACTTGTCAACAAATATTAGTTTTATTCAAATCTATTCTCTTCAACGAACATCCCCACCAAAATACTGACGTGAATTATTTGTTAAAAACAGAATTACATCGTAAATGTTTTCGATTAAATGCCACAAAAATCAGATGTAAAAATGGATGTCTTGTTACCTTTCAACAGAAATATTTTAATGAAAAAAATAAAAGAAGAAAACATTTGCTAATGAAAAAAATAAACCTGCAAGCGTTGATTCTCCCATTTAATGTGAAATATTTACAAAATGTACATCCATATTCAGAAAAGTTTAAATGCATAAAATTATTACTTCATTAGCAGGAATTCAACAAATCGACAAAATGTGACACAATTACTAGTTAATTACAAACACATGAATATTATTATTATTATACATTTTTACATTTCAAAATTTAAAAAATAACATTTCAAAGAGAAAACTTTAAATTCTTGTAACATTACTATCGTTTGATGTCGTCTACAATTTTATCTGATAAACACCATTTTTATCTGGTCAACACCATATTTAAATGTCTTTATACATCTGGCGTTTAAATTTTTTTACTTTCTAGGGATAGAGAGAGAAATGGATTTAACGTCCACTCAACACTAACTAGGTCATTTCGGGACTAACATGGTTTAATTTTATTTCAATAATTTGCTTGCACGTAACAGTTCTTTAGCTGTTTGAGGAACCGGACACAAGCTTAATATTAATATAAAACGAATGATTGTTAATTTATAAATTTGATGAAATTAATAACAATGATGGTTTTATGTTTTATATACAAATGATTCATTTTCCGAATATTTGTTCTCTTAACAGATCCCCATAGCAACAATAAGTCACAACACCTTGACAACGTCAGTATGCATCTTTAATTTTAGTTTTAATAGGATCTAAAAGTTTCATGTTACTAGATCTAAAAGTTTCATGTTACTAGATCTAAATGTTTCATGTTACTAGATCTAAATGTTTCATGTTACTAGATCTAAATGTTTCATGTTACTAGATCTAAATGTTTCAGAATAGAAAAGTTTGTGAATTAAACAAACGTTACCTTAAAGATTACCAATAACTTAAATAATTTCTTTAATAAACAAAAATTCCAAAATAAATCTAAAACAACCATTTAACAGATAAATTCAGATGATTTTCTGTATGGACCTCCTTGTTTTATATATTCGTACAAATAATTTTAAGATAAATTATCTTCAGATGCCTAAAATTCAGACATTACAGCTGGCACTTCATAACTTTATGAAATGTAGTTTACTTATAACTTTATGAAATGTAGTTTACTTATAACTTGTTGAAATTGTTGAAATAAAACTCAAATGTGGAAGAGAAGAAAAATATAAAATGTTATGGCCTATAAATGATGTGATATCTAAAACTGTGGTATATCTATAACTAGATCTGTTTCTCCTTCGTCAGATGAATCAAACATCGGCGCTACTTTCAGCTCATCAACGGCCAGATTTGGTTGAGTTGTTTTCGACTTCTCCATCGACAACCGAGCAGCCCCTTGTTTCATGTTAGCGATCATTTTAGCCTTTGTTTTACACGGACGACCACGCTGTCGATTCGGTACTGGTTCAATCTTCGCAACAGGCTTCATTGGCATCGTACGATTGCCCTGTTTATTGTCCAATCGTTGCGGAGGTAGAGATTTATTTGCGACCGGAATTTCAGAACTTTGAGGAAACAGAGCGTTGGTGGTCGGTACTACACTTGCTGCCGGTTTTGTTTGTGGCGCCGATTCCGGTAAATTATTCGGTAAACCAGAAGTTAGAATTTTTTTCACAGTTTTAAAATTGATATCGCTTGTATTTGTGTCCAACTCAATACCATTTTGGTCTTTCATTTCCTCTGAATCCTTAGAATCCTCATTTTGTGTTGACGACGGCGTCGATGCCCCACTAGATACCCCACTGCCCGTCTCTTCTTTCAACTTTTTGGGAGGTGTTTTAATTTTTGAAGGTGAAAATGATGATAAAACGTCCTTGTGATCAGAGCAATATAGAGTACCCTCGACATCGAATATATTTCCTACGATATGTTTATTACAGTACGAATTGGGACATTTACAACACAATTTAACGGCTGATTTTCCACAATTGTCACAATGGTGCCACGGGCATAGCCATTTGCCTGAAAAAATAGAAATTTCAAGTTTTAATTTCAAGGCATGCTATCATAAATTTTAAAGGACAATATTGGTGTCAGTCATGAATAAATTATGTGATAGAACTGGTTAAATACATTCCAAATATAATTTTAACACAGAGATCATTGCTACAGGAGACGTGTAACAAGTACGTGAAGAAACGGGAAGTGACGCCAAACATGAGTCGTCCTTCTATATAACAGACTGAAGTAACGAGCGGTAAGAGACAAACGATCAAATTTCATTTCACTGATAATTCCGTTGAAGTTAAGTTATTATATGTGATGGTGAGAGAGTATCTCTCAATTCAAAAATAGAATTGGCTGTCACTAGATATGGGATACGAGAAAAAGTAGAAAAATCCTGTGCATTCCCCCATTTTTATTCATTCTGTTCTTAATAAAAACATGATAATGCACGGCCGTTTTCTAATTTGTTTGTTATCTTTTATCTACTGACAGCCAATTCTTTTTTTGAATTGTCAGATATCCTCTCATCGTCTCATATAACAACTTTCATCTTCAACGGAATTATCAGTGAAATGAAATTCGATCGTTTGTCTGTTACCGCTCGTTACTTCAGTCTGTTATATAGAAGTACAACTCATGTTTGACGTCACTTCCCGTTTCTTTACGTGCTTGTTACACAGCTATCGTAGCAATGATCTCTGTGTTAAAATTATATTTGGGATGTATTTAACGAGCTCTATCACATATTTTATAATGACTGACACCAATATTGTCCTTTAAAGTCCACCACCTTTATAAATGAAAACAATGGGGTTTAACGTACCGGTCCTACTATTCTGCGCTAATAGGGCTATTGAAGACAGATATAAACCATGCAGCGCCCAAACAGCAACTTTTTCTCCTTATTTGATTCCATGTATCAAGGGTTTATACATCGGAATGACCAGAATCTGTTCCTTGAAAGACCCTCCCCTTCAGCACGACTGACAAGGAGAAACAACACTACCAGACTCTCTCCCCTTCAGCTCAACTGACAAGGAGAAACAACACTACCAGACCCTCTCCCCTTCAGCTCAACTGACAAGGAGAAACAACACTACCAGACCCTCTCCCCTTCAGCTCAACTGACAAGGAGAAACAACACTACCAGACCCTCTCCCCTTCAGCTCAACTGACAAACAACACTGCCAGACCCTCTCCCCTTCAGCACAACCGGAAAATTTGACAGCCTAATACATGGATCAAACATTGGCATCCAGGTTTGTAAGCCAGCCTCTAAATCACTCGTTTCATCCCAATGACAAAACCATTTGTCCTGTAGAACATGTAGCAACCAGACTGGTGGAAAACAGAGTAGAGTTTCCTTGACCTACGGCAGCTCCTGCCTGAGACGAGGAATACATACCGATTGGAAGTTTTGTCAGATTTAGACATTAAGCCACGGCGGCTCCACCCCGAGACGAGGAATGAATACATACCAGTTGGAGGTTTTGTCAGATTTAGACACTGTAGATGATAAACTTTAGGACAACTAGAATGATCACACATGACCAACTCTCCTCCTTCCCCGCAACGAAAACAATCATCGTCATGTTCTTTCTTGATATCTAATTTCTTTTTCTTCTTCTTCTTCTTACTACCATCTTTATCTTTAAGTTTCTTGGCGTTGGCCATCGCTGCTGCCGACTACAACATAGAATATGAAATGGATGTTTAACAATCTACTGTTCTGCTCCAACAGAGTTAATAAAGATGGGCATATACCATTTAGTGTACTATGATGGAATGAAAATGAAATGGGGTTTAACATCCTACTGTTCTGCTCCAACTGGGCTAATGAAGACGGGCATACAGTGTGCTATGAGGGAAATTGTGCCCGGGCAGCGGCACTATGGCCTACTCTTATATCAAATTCCAACTGCCAAGGGATCTTTTATGCACATGCCAATGTATACACTGGACCTCAGTTTTTCGTACCATCTGAACAATTAGACTGCAACACTGACATGGGGGAAACCATGTCGGAAAATCATGATGAACTTTCTCGGCCAATGCAGGGATTTAACACACGACCTCCAAGAAAGTAAGCCAACGTCTTACCCACTTAGACATCATGGCTCCAACTATAATGGAAATTGGTACCAACGTGCAATAAGAAATGAAATGTGCACCAAACAAGTATACATTCAGTGTGCTACAGATAGAAGACCATTCAGACCAAGTTAAAAGACAACTTCTGGCCAACATTACAAGACCACTCGGACAAAGATAGAAGACTATACGGACAAAGATAAGAAGACTACTCGAACCACGATAGAAGATCACTCGAACATTCACGAAACATGGTTTCATTGTCTGCTTAACCGTTAACATCAAAAACAGCTATGCGTATGTGTTTTGTGATACGATTCACGATTTAAATACCGATTCAAATTAGGAATAAATTGAACATTATGGATAAATTGGTAGACTTTAGTTCAATTTCACAAAGTAATTTACGAAAGGTATTAAGGACGTATGAATTTCGGGGTAGACTATACTCGTGATATTGTTCCATTAAATATTTGTTTATTTCTAATAAAGCTGTGACAATATGGACTGAATTATTCTGACTGTTTTGTATTACTGTAGACTGCAATCAACCAAATATTTTATATTTCCGCCGACTATTATCCGCCGTAAATTGCTTATTTTTTGCAAACAGTAATACCAGGCCTTCACGTAAAAGGTGCGTGACCTCTCTCGCTCTCCTGGATATCTCTTGCTTCAATAGTCTAATTTTCCCTTTTTCTAATTTCAAGAGAGTTTTTTTGGACTCTCCAGGAATTTATTGACATGAAGGATGGTAATCCGCCGATTTTTTTTTATATTCCCGCCGAATATTTTCTGTTCAGAATATCTATATTATCGCATGAGAAAAATATTCACGATTTATGAGCGGAAAAAATAGTCACAAGGACTAATTTCATACTTCCAAAGGACGTGTAATGTATAAGGGAAATTTGTAGGATTCTAACTGCCAAGGATTCTCCGATGTTACTGTAATACTGATAACGAAGGGAGACCATGCCTGTCAGTTAACATGGCTCCTCACTGAACCAACATGGCTGCCACATTACATACAAGTTTTGAGTACAGATAATGTTTTGAAATAAAAGTCCTACCTTTGGTCTGACACCTAGGAAACCACTACAATTATCGGATCCACACGCACAGATTGTCTTCTCATTACCCAGACATTCTAAATTATAGTTAAACGTTAATTCTGATCCTGGGAAGTAAAAATACAATACAATTATAAATATAGACTCATTTCTAATTGATTATATAAGATTTAGATAAATAGCTATAATAGTTCAAAAATACATAATGCAAAATCAATACAACGAATATTTTAGTTAAATTACTTTATTCTACTGGAAGTTATAAGGGTTTGAAGATTTCACAATATAGTCTTGATTGTCCAGTACCACTGCTACGATAAAGAGTCTTGATTATTCAGTTTTACGTTATTTTATCAAATGGTGATTGTCTTATAATCCATTCAAAATCACAACCTAATTTATATCCAACTTGGGTAGATTGTTTATTATCGTTGCAACGATACTTATTATTACAAACTTGACCTCGCTCCTCCATTTTGAAATTAAATCAATAAATGACTGGGTTTCAATCCATTTTGAAATTAAATCATTAAATGGCAACAGTGTATCAATCCATTTAAATATTGGCCAACTGAGTTGATTATAGGCTTGTCATGTGAATAAATGTCTAATTTATAGATTTGAAGCCAAAAGAAAGACCTGAAATAGGCCTGTCTTATTCGCATTTTTCAAAAATATCAAATTTTCCACGTATTAATACACAATTTAATACACGCCAAACTAAAGGGATCAATTTATTGCTACAACAGGTTGCAGTTCCTGGAATATTGGGTGGCATAAAGGGATCAATTTATTACTACAATAGGTGAGGGGTCCAGGAATATTGGGTGCCATAAAGGCATTAAAGTTATCATACCTGATGGAATGTCATTCAGTGCAAACAGTCCAACTCGTACATCGCCATTTACCATCCATTTCTGTGTTTCACAGTTAGGTTGACAACAGTGGTTCATAAACCTTGATAAATTACCCTTGGGACCAGCATCTATAACTCTATAAATAAACATGACATATTCATTATACACAACATCTATAACTCTATAAAGATACACGACATATTCATTATACACAGCATCTATAACTCTATAAAGATACACGACATATTCATTATACACAACATCTATAATTCTATAAATATACATGATATATTCATTATACACAACATCTATAATTCTATAAATAAACATGACATATTCATTATACACATCTATAACTCTATAAATATACACGACATATTCATTATACACAACATCTATAATTCTATAAATATACACGAAATATTCATTATACACAACATCTATAATTCTATAAATATACATGACATATTCATTATACACAGAATCTATAATTCTATAAATATTCATCATGAACTATGCACACAACGCATAGAGAGATTGGGCTTAAAGTCCACTTGACACACGCCAGATCATTTTAGGACTAACATATGGTTCAATTTTATTTCAATAATTCGCTTGCGCGTAGGAGGTCTTTAGCAGTGGGAGGAAACAGGATGACCCGGAGAAAACCCACAAGGTTGGACATGCTACCCTACTCCTTGTCACGTAAAACCTTGGAATCGATACCACGCCAGTTGACTCAATGACAGACCTTGTGATACAGCGTGCACATGCTAACCAAACGGCAATACAACACCCCTTAATGTGTAAGCAGGTAATCAATACCATGCTACTGAACTGAATGACAAATGCGAGTGTCAAACCATTCTGCCACCCACATCCTTGAGGGATGTTGCTGTCACAAGCAGGTGCCCTTCTCCCATATAAAAGTTATTAATACCTGTTTTTATCGAGTGTTAACATATAAAAGTTTGTGATGTTATCTTCATGGGCTTGTTTTATTCTTCTTCTACATTCATCTTCATCAACTAAATCGCCCACATATTCATTTACAAACTGACCCTAAAAATATAAATCACCGACATATTCATTTACAAATTGGCCCTAAAAATATAAATCACCGACACTTTTACAAACTGACCGTAAAAATATAAAGAGAACAGCCCTTACCTTTTTAACATCAACTTTAGTATATAACCCCCAGCCTCTACTTGGTGTTTTTAAGGGTTCCGATACAGGATATTCTCTCTTCTGGAATCTCTGATTCTGACATTTCTCAGCTGCCGGACAGGCAAGGGGATGACATTCATACATCAACATCCGGTTTAAACAATCTGAGTCGGAACTGCACGGATTCTCCTGATCCGATCGACATTCACATCTCGGTATCTCTGATAAATCAGCTTTATTGATCTGAACATTTCCAATAGGAACGTTGGTCTGAAAATCAATATAATTATCAATTATTGATCTGAACATTTCTAATAGTAACGTTGATCTGAAAATCAACAAATTATTCATTTTAGAAGGAAAGATGAAGATCAACTGTTAATCAACACAAATTAAAACATTATATATATGTAAAATATTCATTATAGACGGGATTGACCAGTTATCAATTATAGACAGGATTGACCAATAATCAATTATAGACAGGATTGACCAGTAATCAATAGAAGTTAGAACATTGTTAGACTTACATGTTATATAGAGTATAACATCACAATGATGAACTTAGACCCACCCAGGGTCTTTAACAGGGGCAGAGAAATCAGACAATATCAGAAAATAGTCATCAGTCTCCACAAACTGGTCGTGTCTCTAGTCTCCACAAACTGGTTGAGTTTCTACCTCAACAAACTGGCTGAGATTCCAGATACACAAACTGGCCGAGTCTCTACCTCCACAAACTGGCCGAGTCTCTACCTCCACAAACTGGTCGAGTCTCTAGTCTCCACAAACTGGCCGAGTCTCTACCTCAACAAACTGGCTGAGATTCCAGATACACAAACTGGCCGAGTCTCTACCTCCACAAACTGGTCGAGTCTCTAGTCTCCACAAACTGGCCGAGTCTCTACCTCCACAAACTGGCCGAGTCTCTACCTCCACAAACTGGGCGAGTTTCTACCTCCACAAACCTCTAGTGTCCAAATATTACCTGGGTTAAACATCAATGATATAACCATTGATTCAAATGTTACCTGGGTTAAACATCAAATGTTACCTGGGTTAAACATCAATGTTACCTGGGTTAAACATCAATGTTACCTGGGTTAAACATCAATGATATAACCATTGATTCAAATATTAAATAACTGTTACCTTGACAAATTTATATGGTGCAGGTTTCTTGGCGTTATTTTCCTTCTCTAACTGTTCTTTGTTTTCTTTCGCCGCCTGCCAGATTTTAAACGCTTCTGTTGCTTCGACAACACCTAAATTATAATAAAAATTAATATCATAATTAACTAATTATACACAAGTTTTAAAATCAGAAATGAAATGAAATGGGTTTTAATTTACAACTCCAAGTGGGCTAATAAAGCCGCCGTACTCTAGGATCGAACACTGAACCTTCAGGTTAGCGATCTGATGTCTTACTCACTGAGCCACTGTGGCTTGATCATTAATAGACGTAATATATTAAATAGTCTTTCCACAGGAGAATTTTCTGATATAAAATAAAATCCTATTTTTTTTCCCCACCAATTAGGCTAATGGAGACAGACATGTATTACAATGGAAATCCTGCCTGGAGAGCAACGCCTCAACCCACCCTAGGAATCAACCAATGTGTGAACTCTGCTTTCCATCCTATGCTAACAAGAAACAACTTTCTCAACCAACCCTAACTCTAACCCTTGGATCGAACTCTGCACCTCCTAGTTACTGACCCAGCACTTCACCCACTGAGCCAACAAGGCTTCTTTTCACAAACAAAAACAAACTTAAATTATTTACCTCGTCCGAATATTTTAGCGAGACCTTTAGCAGCTGCCGTATCCCGACTTCCCTTGTCACCTTCTTGAAACAGGAAAACCCTTAAAAAACAATAAAATACTATTGTAGCTGAGGAACTTTTTATTCCACTATACCAACCCTTTTTTTACCGGACTGGAATTTAAATCAAGTATTTGTCAGATAATTCTTTACATAAACCGATAGAGTCCATGATTATCATGTTTATCTTTACATAAACTGATAGAATCTTTGATTATTATTTTTATCGAAATATTTTCTTACCTCCCTTGATGTGTCCAATAAAAGTCATGTGATCCAAAGAATCTAACAGGGAATTCCCCTACTTGATGTGGTTTTTCCTGTATATTTAAGGGAACATTACGGGGATGACATACCTCTCCTGGCCACCATCTAAAACATAAATAAATATACATAATATATCAATCATTACATCCAAGATGATAAACCTCTCCTGGTCACCATCTAAAACACATAAAAAATGTAGAAATGAAATGGGGCTTTATGTTCTGCTTTTCTGGGCAGGTTTAGGGAACTCGGATCTCACCATGGTAACAGATTGTCTGGTCAGGTTTAGAGACCTCTGAGCTCACCATGGTAACAGATTGTCTGGTCAGGTTTAGAGACCTCTGAGCTCACGATGGTAACAGATTGTCGGGTCAGGTTTAGAGACCTCGGATCTTACCATGGTAACAGATTGTCTGGTCAGGTTTAGAAACCTATGATCTCACAATGGTAACAGATTGTCTGGTCCGGTTTAGAGACCCGTGATTTCACCATAGTAACAGTTTGTAAGACAGCAAAGTTAATGCTGGATGTCTATTCGTAAATAATGCCTGTATCAAGTGACACTTTATTGGCTTAAAAGCATTCTTGAAACCAACTATCCATAATTACCTGTAACTGCCGATTTTAATCCAGATTAAATCTCCATATAAGGGTTTTTTACCACTGGAACAATCTGAACAATACCAACTACCCTCGGGAAACGTCATCTTTAAACAATCTGGATGGTAGGCTGCTGGACACGATTCACAACATAGCAACGTACCTCCTGTAACCAATAGTACTTAGAATAAAACATAATATAATGTATAACAGAGTTATGGCCCTTGATCACTTCAACGCTTTCTACCCAGATGTGGTTTCCTGCACTAATGACAAGGGGAAACCATGCTAGAAAACCTGGGAGAAGCTTCTCGGCCCCCCAAGACAATGTCCTTGACAGGCCCTCCGACCTGCACAAGACACAAAAGGATTGTAAATAAAGAAGTAAAATATGAGACTGGACTGACCTTTACTACACTGGAAACACCAGCTGACGTTGACGTGACTATGATGACGATGTGTTTTATTGGGTTGAAAGTGAGAACTACACACGATGTAATTACCAGCTAGATTGATACTTCCTGCTGCTATACAATAATCACCGGCATGATACGCTACCGGACATCGTACACAACGTAATAACCGACCTAAAATATACAACACAATATACATCACTTGGTCAACAACTGAGTTTATTTCCTTCTGCATCAGGACTGAGAATTATGAAATAATTTCTTGTCACTCTATAACGATTCCGTCGCTCAAGAAAATTATCACTTTCTTCAAATATGGTTCATCACATTCAGGTTCTGAATCCAACATCAACATATGGTGAATCATGTTCGAAATTATACAAAATATTAACTGTATTGTTGTCATAATTAAAGAAATAAAACCAACCTTTAGTAGCTTTAGGGTTTTTTGGGTTGTCAGCAGCACACGTTGCACACGTATGTAGGGGACAGAAATACGATTTCCCTTCAATACGACTCTGAGGATATTTCTTAAAACATTCTTCATGGTAGAATTTACCACATGATGATACGGAACATTTCCTTGTATCTGTACTAGCTACTTTACACCGGAAACATGTGTGTTCATCTGAAATATAACAATAGAAGGTTTCATAGAATTTGTCATAATTCACCCATCAGAGAATCTTTCATAGAATTTGTCATAATTCACCCATCAGAGAATCTTTCATAGAATTTGTCATAATTCACCCATCAGAGAAGCTTTCACAGAGTTTGTCATAATTCACCCATCAGAGAATCTTTCATAAAATTTGTCAGAACCACAGATCATGCCTTAAATGGACTCAGACTAGTAATTATTTTCCCTTATTTCATGATGGACGAATGTAGTGCTTGTTATAAATAGACAATTTTTCCCTTAATTTTTTTCTCCCCTCCTGCTTTTTTTGTCTGACTTTTTGGTCTAGTATTGGAGAAAAGGGATCAAATTTACAATTTCATAGCAGTTTGGGGAAATACTGATGATATTGCAGCGGAGGGATAGGGGGTGTAAAGTGTCTTTCTGCAGAGCAATCATTGTGTCGGAAGTGAGATTTTCACCCCAGTCAACTTCAAATCCCTGTAGCAAAAAATCTAAACGGTCAACCCCCTACAAAATTATAAGGAGATTGCCAAATGTGGTCCCCATTGTGCCTATAAAGATTGGAACCAACGGAATGTTGAGCAAAGAGCTACAGCCTGTGATGTTAAAGCCATTTAACACTGAAGTCAATGGGCAAAAAGTTGCTAGTCCAAATAAATCCCCCCCCCCCACCACCCGTAGAAATTCTTGGGTTTCATCTCTTTATGTAATGCGACCAGTGGTCATTTTTTCAGTTATAAATTTAACACAACTTGTACCTCTATGATCCATTTCAAATCTGTTCTACTTACTTTTAAGACATTCCCCACATCTAAATTCTCCGTCAGGATTCTCTGTCAGTGCCAGACATGTGGCGTGGAAATGACCTTGACATGCTCCCTGACATTCGATAAGTTGACCAGTTTGTTCACATATTGTACAGATATTCTCTCGTTTAGTCGTACTGCTAGCATGAAGTTTAAATATGTCCAACTCATATTCATCATCACCAGATTTAATCGTACTCTGTACAACACGTGATTTCAGATCATTCTGGGCGAAAAAATCAATAAAATATCACAATAAATTAATGTCTTCCTAAATCAAGAATAAATCAAAAACAATTCAGAATCTCAACTTAAACATACATTAATCATATTAAACATACATTATGCAAGAGCTTAATCTGCCTATTGCAGGTCTTTCTTTAGGCCTGAAATGTTATCTAAATTATTAATTAGACATTAATTAACTTATCCAGACCATAATAAACTCTCGACGTCATCGCTAGCCTGCAATATTTACTGGATTAGGATCCCATTTGCTGCTCAACTTTCATTCATGATTTAATGATGAAATGGATAATCAAGACTATGTTTTTTTATCGTACCGACTTCGGTAATGGTGATCGAGGCTAGGGCGAAGTCAATCGCTAAAATCTTGGTTCAGAGTGGATCAATTTGACTGAAATTTTCAGCAAATTCCCTTTACATTATCTATTTTTTAACTATTATGGTGAGAACTGCCAGCTCTTTATCTAATCTCCCATCATGTATCTTTAACAAATAGATAAGAACAATTTCAAGTTTGCTGCAAACTTGAGAAAAAAATATTAAAGACTTTGTTACTGGTAGGTGGAAGAATTTGGGGGAAACGGGAAGAGAGGGTCATTTTGGGACTAAAATGTGTTTCAATTTTATTTCAATAATTCCCTAGCATATTAGGGTCTTTAGCAGTTGGAGGAAACCTCAGGACATGGAAGAAAAACCCACGAGATTGGACAGGTACAAACAGGGAATCGAAACCGCACCACATGTTGGATATCCACCCCCTTCGATACCCGAACCTCTTTGTATGTTGAAATGGAAACAAGACCCTAACCCTCTGTATGAGTTGAGATACGAAACAAGATCATGTTAACAATTATACTCACACGTGGTTCTGATTTTTCTGAATTTGAATCTGAATCATGATTGGTTGGCGGTGCTACTTTGGTTTTTCTTGATTTCTTCTTCTCCTCGATAATCGGTACTGATTTATCAGTTGTTAAGGTTTCTGATTTTCTGGATTTTGAGATTTTTAAAGGTTTTACCATTGGCTTAACTTCTTTCATTTCAACTTGTTCTTCTTCTCCTTCTTCCTGCTCAATTCATGAATCAACAAATATAGTAAATAAACGAAACAGAATTGTAAAATATTTCTAATTAAATTAGAAATTAAATGTGGTTTAACATTCTTTGCTCTACCGAATGGGCTAATGAAGACACACGCTATTACCAACAATTAAAGTATTACTTCACAAGTAGGCCGTAGTGCCACTGCCTGGGCAATATTTCCCCTCATATTGCCCGTTTTTATTTTCAGTGACCAGTTGGGATTAATTTTAATTCAGAAGGAATCTTATTGAAATCTTTGTCAGATCAGTTGACGTTCAGCTATGTATTTTCTTCACAATGTTTTACTCTGCAAGCCGATAACTGAACACAGCATATCTTTTTAAGCAAGAACATAAGGCTGACCTACCGACCCTTCTCCTCAATTGTGGGTCGGGTTTGGCAAAACAAAGATATTTTTAAGGTCAGCCTAATTAACTAAACTTTGGCTGTTGAGAAAAAATACGACACAGGAGTAAAAATATCAAAACAAAACTAAGCATAAATCAAAATTCTGTAAATTGGTACATGACATTTATCTTTTAAAATTGCGAGACATTTAGATCCAATTTGTTGAAAGAAATTGATGGAAATTTTCAGGAACAATGCAAGACTCGGTAACAACCAAAATCAGCAAATTTTGCCCTTGTAATAGAGGCATGGAGTTCACTGTCCACTCAACACAAACTAGCAGTGAGAGAAATCGGGAGGATTGCACGTAGGGGTCTCTAGCAGTGGGAGAAAACCGGGAGATTGCACGTAGGGGTCTCTAGCAGGTGGAGAAAACTGGGAGATTGCACGTAGGGGTCTCTAGCAGTGGGAGAAAACCGGGAGATTGCACGTAGGGGTCTCTAGCAGGTGGAGAAAACTGGGAGATTGCACGTAGGGGTCTCTAGCAGTGGGAGAAAACCGGGAGATTGCACGTAGGGGTCTCTAGCAGTGGGAGAAAACCGGGAGATTGCACGTAGGGGTCTCTAGCAGGTGGAGAAAACTGGGAGATTGCACGTAGGGGTCTCTAGCAGTGGGAGAAAACCGGGAGATTGCACGTAGGGGTCTCTAGCAGGTGGAGAAAACCGGGAGATTGCATGTAGGGGTCTCTAGCAGTGGGAGAAAACCGGGAGATTGCATGTAGGGGTCTCTAGCAGTGGGAGAAAACCGGGAGATTGCATGTAGGGGTCTCTAGCAGTGGGAGAAAACCGGGAGATTGCATGTAGGGGTCTCTAGCAGTGGGAGAAAACCGGGAGATTGCACGTAGGGGTCTCTAGCAGGTGGAGAAAACCGGGAGATTGCATGTAGGGGTCTCTAGCAGTGGGAGAAAACCGGGAGATTGCACGTAGGGGTCTCTAGCAGTGGGAGAAAACCGGGAGATTGCATGTAGGGGTCTCTAGCAGTGGGAGAAAACCGGGAGATTGCATGTAGGGGTCTCTAGCAGTGGGAGAAAACCGGGAGATTGCACGTAGGGGTCTCTAGCAGTGGGAGAAAACCGGGAGATTGCATGTAGGGGTCTCTAGCAGTGGGAGAAAACCGGGAGATTGCACGTAGGGGTCTCTAGCAGTGGGAGAAAACCAGGGGATTGCACATAGGGGTCTCTAGCAGTGGGAGAAAACCGGGAGATTGCACGTAGGGGTCTCTAGCAGTGGGAGAAAACCGGGAGATTGCATGTAGGGGTCTCTAGCAGTGGGAGAAAACCGGGAGATTGCACGTAGGGGTCTCTAGCAGTGGGAGAAAACCAGGGGATTGCACATAGGGGTCTCTAGCAGTGGGAGAAAACCGGGAGATTGCACGTAGGGGTCTCTAGCAGTGGGAGAAAACCAGAGGATAAAGACATCAGCCTTGAGCTTTCAGGAATTAAAAATAACATAATTTTTTATAGATATTGATGTTTCTTGCCAGTGTATTAAAACTATCGGATTGCTTACCTTTGTCTTGTCAGTTGGTTCCGTTTCCATGGGAACCTCAGTCTCTTCATCAGATTTTATGTCACTCATTCTTCTTGACTAAAATATAACACATGATAGGCTATTTATGATGGTGTCTCCTTCCAATCATCTTTCAGTCTACTCGGAAAATACAGTCTATATTTAGTCAAGGGATTACATCAATAGTGTGCCGTCTAAATAGTCCATGACAGGTGCTGTATGTCCAGGTTTTACTTCCAATACAATGTTTGTAAAATAATAATAAAATTGGAGTCCCGGACAGCAAACCTTTTAACCCTGTTGTGTTGAAAAAATAATCTATTTATGTTTTGCCTTTTTCTCAAAAACAAGATGAACCATACACATAGTCTTGTGTTTGTCAAATTTAAAAAGATGACCACAACTTTGATTGGTTGATAATTTGTGATGTGGAATCAGACAACCAATAGAAAGACAACATAGGGATGGGGAGGACATTTACCAATAAACAGGATGTGTGACAAGGTGTTATAGGTTCACCATCACTGTCATAGACATTTACCAATAAACAGGGTGTTATCGGTTCACTATCACTGTCAGAGACATTTACCAATAAACAGGATGTGTGACAAGGTGTTATAGGTTCACTATCACTGTCATAGACATTTACCAATAAACAGGATGTGTGACAAGGTGTTATAGGTTCACTATCACTGTCATAGACATTTACCAATAAACAGGGTGTTATCGGTTCACTATCACTGTCAGAGACATTTACCAATAAACAGGATGTGTGACAAGGTGTTATAGGTTCACCATCACTGTCATAGACATTTACCAATAAACAGGGTGTTATCGGTTCACTATCACTGTCAGAGAACCTTAAATAAAACAGTTTTCACCTTTCTCGTTGGTTTAGATGTTGGTGTGGGCCCCTTTTTATCTTCTTCTGCTTCTAATTTTTTAATAGATGGTTTACTGACACGTGGTGATCTCTTGGCTAAAAAATACATCAATTATTTAATTCTTGTTTATTTACCATTTTAAACAAGCGGCTCTGGTCAAAGGCTTCCAGAAATACATCAATTGTAAACCAGTTTAAATAAGCGGTTTTGGTCAATACTTTCCTGGCCAACACCAGAATTGAAGGCCTAGTTTACCCCCATACTCCTCGCAGTGTTTCGTTTGATTAGACCTAATCTCACCAGGGCTGCCGACAACCAGTATCGCAGCGCAATTTGCGATACATATTTTGTCCGTTGCTAATCAAAAATTAAAATCTAACGTTTTTGATTCGCAGTAACTGCGAATCATTAATATGCCTGTCATTTTGGATAATGACACAAAGATTTATCCACATTTCTCAACACTTTCAATGTGTATAAAATATCAAATAAATTTTATAAACAAAACGGAATTCTCCGTGTGACATTTTCTTCTCGAACTTCCCAGACTCAATTCATGATACTATATAATACAGGGACATAACTCTATGAATCGGGACTATTAAACCGGAAATAGGGAATCAAGTAGTACCACTCACGTTGCGAGACATGTCAATTTCGAGTAATTATATCAGTATTCAATTTGAAAAAAAAATAAATTCAGTGTATCCCCCACAAATTGTAAATAAAATATAAAAAATAAACGTAAACGTATTGTAAAGTGAGAAATCAAAGTAAGAATTCCCGTAAACTATTATTGTTTATATTGCGTGCGTCTAGTTAATCGAGATTATTCGTAAAATACCGCGTGCTTCCGATTGAACAAAAATAATAACACACGATAAAAAGCAGACGAAATTGTTTTCTAACGAAGAAATAAGAAGCCACTGCCAAGAATTGGCTTCAGACATAAGGCCTAACAAAAGTCTACATTCATTCAGAAATGTTCACAGCTAGCTGTAGAAGTGCTAAAATTCTAAAAAAAATCTTAAGAATGAAATCTAATCATTTGCTATCAATTAAAATTAAAATAATCTTGTTATTTAGGTGTTTTATGTTGATTTGAAACTGAAAAACTGCTAATCAATTTTTAAATTTGCTAATCAAATTTGGCAAAATTGGACTTTTTGATTAGCAGTGCTGCTAATCATCTGTGAAAAATTACCGACAGCCCTGAATCTCACTCAAACATTGCTGTAATGAAAGCAAATTTCTGTTCCAAATTATTGCTGGTCAATAGTCTGATTAACAACAAGCAATACCTAACTGCGTAACAATATCATTCGGATTTAAACAGAGCTCTAGATATGTTTACATAACGTTACGTCATGACTCACGAAATTTATTACACCTAATTAACAAGTGCATAGCAGAATATCGCAGAAAAACTAATTGCGTGACAAACAAGGCTATCAAAACAGCTACAATGTAAACAATACGATTTGGAGACAAACAATACTTTCGTCATTTTTAATACCTTAAATCACTGTCCAAAGTTTAGGGAAGACCCCAGATTAAACGAAGGGCTGTCATGTTGCTGTACTTGGGAGAGATTTGATTGAACGGGAAGAATAGACTCACTTGTTCAAAAGCTCAAGTATCAGAAGTCAATCCAACAATGGCCAGAGAGCGATTTCTCCGGCCATTACTTCAGGAATATTCGGTTTCCCAAGGCATTCTCAGACTTTTCATTGAATTTCAATTGTCCTTTATATGTACGCCAATGTGTATGTGGGCCTTTAACTTACCGGTATTGGGTGATTCCGTTTCCATGGTGAATTTCGTCTTATATCTGGCCTTCTGTTTCTCGGACATTAAACTCCACTGTTGACTTAGATGCTCTTTCACTTCTTCTGCTGACCAATCAGGATGCTCGTCTAACACACTATCCTCGTGTTTGTGGTAAAACGTATCGAATGAAGGCTCATACTTCACGGCTTTAGGTCGCGTAAACAATGCTTTCACAGAACTAGAGTCATTATCACTTCCCTCTGTCTTTTGTCGTTTGGTTTTATTTTCAACAGGGGTATCTTCAACCGACTCATTCGACAAGTCATCTTCCTCCATTTTTCTTTTCTTACCCTGTTTTTTTGTTGGCGAGCCTTTAGGCGTGGCCGAATTGTCTTTCGATTTATTTGATTTCAAATCGTAAACGAACGTGAATTTCTCTTGTCGTTCTTCATTGCTGTAACCATACGCTTCTGTCGCCTGGGCAACACCGATATCCCAAGCCATTTTTCTAGACGGAAGAACCCGGAACGTTTGAGTAATTTTCACCTTATTGCTCTTGGTTGCCGATTTGACTCGTTCATCTGCGTAATCTAAGAAATCTTTTAATCCAGTAAAAGATAGAGATGAGCTTTCACTAATCCACCCCCGTTCGCCCTCGTTACCAAAATACTGAACGTGATACATTCTCTGTATTCGTGCGCCACCTACAATTATAAAATATAAGAAATAACTCTGAAAGTACTTATCAGTTTCTTTTTCTCATGAACATAAACAAATGATGAGAGAGAAGTGTCAGCAGTAGAATGTTAATGAAATGGGGTTTAACATCCTACTGTATAAACAATGATGAGAGACGAATGTCAGCAGTAGAATGTTAATGAAATGGGGTTTAACATCCTACTGTATAAACAATGATGAGAGACGAATGTCAGCAGTAGAATGTTAATGAAATGGGGTTTAACATCCTACTGTTCTGCTCCGACTGGGCTAATGAAGATGGACATACGCCATACAGTGTGCTATAAGGGAAATTTTTCCCGGACAGCGGCACTACGGCCTACTCTTATATCGAATTCCAACTGTCAAGGGATCTTTTACGTGCACGCCAATATGTACACTGGACCTCAGGTTTTTTTTTGTCCCATCTGAACGATTAGACAGCTGTCCTTGTCAGTACCTCCTAATGCATCACTGACAAGGGGGAAGCACGGTGGAAAATCTGGATGAACTTTCTTGAACAATGCAGGGATCAAACACCCGACATACAGGCATGCGAGCCAGCGTCTTACCCACTTAGCCACCGTGACCCCCAGCAGTAGAATGTTAAACCCCATTTCATAACCTCATATCAATATACAAATGGTTTTAAATAGAAGTTTTATTATTCTGACTATACACAATTCAATCTGAAAGTCTGTACGATGGTTTTTAAATGGCAGTACTATTTAATTTTATTTTGACACATTTAAATACGGGCATGTAAAAATCTAAACACAACAAACCTTGAATTCTGGTGTATATGTTGGTATATGGACATTCGGACACCATGCAAGGCCACCATGGATGACCGCCAACTTTAGCCCACAGCATATCACCCATACCATACTTGGCCGGTTTCTGTTGTTCCATTTCTGGTGACACTTGTACTGGAGGGGTTTTTACTTTTGTTTCTTTTGGGGATTTCTCCGTCTCTGGAAAATCAGATTTGGGTAATTTTCTTTTCACTACTCTTTTCGTTCTTTGTTCCGCCGTTTCTATTTTCCGGACGCTCTTTGCCGATGTTGTGTATTCAGATTCATCTTTCTTGTCTTTTATTTTACGACCTTTAGAGGTTCTGCGACTTTTTGGTGTATTGAACTCGGATTTGTTATTTTCACTGGTTTTAGGTTCAGGAATTTTCTCGGTTTTCTCAACTTTTTCCATTTTCTCAACTTTCTCAACTTTTTCCATTTTCTCAACTTTTTCAAATTTTTCAACTTTTTCCATTTTCTCAGTTTCAGTTTTCTTAGATTCTTCAGATTTTTCCTTTCCGTTTACTTCAGCTTTCTCTTTTTCATCCTCTGCTTCCATTTTGTTCAACAGGTCGTCAACTTCTAAGGTGGTTTCCGATATTTTTAAGACAGCTCCTGTACCCTCAACATGTGTAACGGAAACACTATCTGGACCTAAAACAAACAACAAATGGATTTAACAAGCTTGATATCTAGAGGCAGATCGTATTTTTTAGAGGCTGTCAAGGTCTTATTACGACATTTCTTACAGCCTAAAATATTTACACTCGAGTTTGTTTTTTTTAGGCTCCATCAATCTGATTAAAATACAGATCTATATTTCGTTTTGTTTTTTATACTTTCGATGGCCTACACTACAAGAAAATCTGACCAGTTGCACTAAAAGGTCGCGTCAGGGGTTGTATGAGTGGCTTTTGACCCCATGACATCAAGACATTGATTAATCAATCAGCGTTGACCTTTCTAGTGGTTTATCCACAGTTCCGTGCATCAAACCCCTGAACCCATCGTACCAGACCGTTTCATTGGCTTATCCTGCACATCAATTAGAACGCAGGTAATATAACAACTCTTCCAGTGTAGTAAAGACAAATAAAACGAAATATTGAACTATAAAAAAGGAAACGAAATAGGATCTGTGTTTGAACCAGATTGAGGTTCCATCAGTAACAGTCGTGCCTTTATTTCTCGACAGCCGTGTAGTCACAATAAAAGCTTCAACTCTGCGTTGTTGGCCATTGGTTGGAAATTATAAGCAATTTATTATTTATTCATGGCCAATAACTATCAACCTGAAATGAAATGGGGTTTAACAGGGGATTTTGCCAGGTCAGCAACCTGTTTTTTATTTCGATTTCGAACTATCAAGGGTTCTTCTACAGGCATCCTGCATCACTGACAAATCCAGATGAAATTTCAGCCAACAACAGGAGCGAACCGGAGCCATGTCTCAGCCAACAATGGGAGCAAATCCGAGCCAGTGTCTCGGCCAACAATGGGAGCGAACCCTAACCAGTGTTTCTCAGCCGAAGTAGGAGCGATCCCAAACCAGTGTCTCGGCCAACAATGGGAGCGAACCCGAGACCTGGTTAGCGAGCTAACCACCTGGTTAGCGAGCTAACCACTCAATCACTGAGCCACTGCAGCTCCAACTACTAACCTGCTGATTGTTTGGTGTTCGATTTACTGTAGGCTTTCTTTAAACCTTTATCCATAGTTGGTATTTGTGGCAGATGATGATGGACACCACTTGATGGCAGCACAGCAGTTGGATTGTCTCCTCCTGACGGGGTCATCGGGGTCATCTCTGACACGCCATTTGTCAATCCAGATGAATTATTCTCCATTTTGTGTCACTGAAAACAAATTCAAAACTTGTTTAATTTATAATCCACAATCAGATAAGAAAATTTTCACAATCAGTGAAAGAACTTAACGCTTGGCTAGCAGCCTGAAGCCACTCCAATACGTGAATAGCAATGTAAAACGTTTTCTACACTTTATAAAACTTTCTTAATAAATAAAATAGATAAGTTTATACTATAGCGGATAGATGTACATAAAAAAAAGTCAAAAATATATTTGTTTAGTTTTTATTTCAATGCAACAGTGAATAACATGGACGATGCTAATCAATCAGAATAGGGTCGATTTAAAACCCTTTCTGGTCGGACTATATATAACTGTTGGTTTAGAAACAATTACCAGTCCCTTCACCTACTGCCCTTAGCGCACTTAGCATATCTGAACATTAATAATTTCTGTCACAGGCCAGGGGAAGAAAAGAGGGTTTAATGTCTACATAAAACTAGGTCAATTTAGGAGTAATGCATGGTTTAACTTTGTCAATAATTCAATCGAGCAAAGGATTTTTTTATCAGACAATCTTACTTCTTGTCAAAAATAATCTGGAAAATGCAACTATGTCACTTGTTCAACCATGTCTATGGCCCTTTTACTTTCTTTAAGCTAATTTGTACAGTACACAGTAGGCCTATCTGATGATAATACTTTTCATAGTTCGAAGGTAACCTTTTGTTCAACTATCACAGATATACAGATTTTTTTAAAAGGGATAAGATGCTACATGTACGTATATGAGTATGAAGTACCGTATAAAATTTTGAATCGTTTTTCACTTCAGTTAACGAATGACCATTTGAATAAACACAGGACAATTAAATGAATTATTGAACATAGGGACGGTTTGGACACAATTCTTTGGGTATTCTGACCACTAATACTTTGTGTTTTTAAATATTCATGTCTTGTAAAATGCCAATGCCAATGGGATGTTTTGTGTAAATGCTGATAAGACAATATTGGTGTAGGCTACAGCTGTTTTAAAATCAGAATAGATTATTCTAATACATAGACATTCAAATTTGTATGCCTCTTGCCAACAATTTGGATGTTTGTTATTATGGAGGCTTTTCTTTATAATATCATTAAAATGGGGAAAAATTCAAATGAGATTCAAAGGCTAATCTCAGGCAAAGAAAGACTCTGTTTAAAGTTAAGAACTATTTTACATGCTGAAAGATTTCTAAAAAAAAAAAATGAACAATGAAAATCTGGTCAACTCGACGCCTCCAATGAAAAATCTCAATTGGATTGATCCAGATCCAGGCTACAATTTCAGAAAATTTGACAAAATAAAATCAGAAATTTTATGACATTTTTCAAAAATATATTGCATGTTTCTGCCTTAATAATCTACCATGAGATTAAAATTCACTTGCCTAATGTAGCATACGAACAGTATATGATATTAAATTGGACAATCAATTTAAACGGTCCGATTAAATGTCTTGAAATCCGTTCAATAGGAAAAGAATTAATCCATGGACGCCATGTTTGATTCACGACGCCTCCACGCGGCAAACTCGGCCAAATGAAACAAAGCCAATTTGCTTATACGACTTCCATAAATAATATGCAGTATAATAAACGGTATCTAAGGATGCTAAAAATCGTAAACATACATAATCTATTCGTCATTTGAGACTAAAAATACTCAAATTCAGTATATTCCACTAACAACTGCACAGCTCTTTCGCTTGTATGATACTCGGTACAATACGGCGGGAAAGTGTACTGTAATTTGATTGGTTTAACTAGGTCACGGAAATCGGCGACAATGTTGGCTTATGGCGCGTTTAACATAGAACAGAGAGGACTTTTTCAACTTTTTGCTAAAATAAATGTCTTAAACAAAATCTGTGTGCTATTTTTGTAATATGATGGAGTCATTTAATACTCCTGAAAGCTACTGAAATTATAAATTCAAAGATAGCAGACGTTTTTCTGGTTAAACTAAGATTAAAATCATGGTCATACTGCAAATCAAATTTATAATCTGGACTGTTTGTCACAATCTCACAAAAAATAAAAACACAAGATCTTACTAGACAATTAATGAAGTTTATTTGAGGATATTGAAAATGATTTATTTCTGACCAAAATCAATCAATTTAATTAGGCATCAATCAGGTTGTTTAAACACCCGATCATATATATTTTGTAGGCTATAATTGTTATAAATTGATTAATTGATTGATTGGTTTATGAATATAAAAATAAATATTTGGCTGTCCAATTTGATCAGATAGCATTGGGCCTCATTCAGCATTCAGGGTATCGACAGCCGTAGGTGGGGGTGATGGGGGGCGTCCAAACTCTATACAATCTCACCAAGTACTGTATCATTCCATGTAATTGTAGTTTGTGGTGTGTGTAGGACAGGAGGAAGAGCATGATTTAGAAATTTTAAACAAAACACAATTCACAAGATTTCAGTTGATTTTTATTTATCAGGACTGTGAAGAACTAAAAATGAAGTTTGTTTGACCCAAATCAAATGAGCATTTCCGTTATTTTAATTATTAAACTAAAGTGGTAGGACCCAGGACCCTTCCTCCCCAGGACCCTTCCTCCCCTTAAAAGGTAAAGTTCATATTAAAATTAAATCAGATTAAATCAAATATTGATTGATTTATTGATTTGGGTGAATATAGACCTAACCAGAAAACGTTTTTCTTTCGTCTACCTAATGTCATTTGAATTTAGGAAATGAAATAAAATGGGGTTTATTAACGTCCTACTGTTCTGCACCAACTGGGATAATGAAGAAGGCCATACAGTGTGCTCTGAGGGGAATTTTGCCCGGACAGTGCCGTTTCCACCTACTTTTGATGGAATTCCAACTGTCAGGTGATCTTTTTACTTGGTGCCCACACCCTCCCTCCTGCAACACTGACAACATGGGGAGAGCACCCCCCCTCCCCTCCTGTAACATTGAAGAAGGCCATACAGTGTGCTCTGAGGGGAATTTTGCCCGGACAGTGCCGTTTCCACCTACTTTTGATGGAATTCCAACTGTCAGGTGATCTTTTTACTTGGTGCCCACACCCTCCCTCCTGCAACACTGACAACATGGGGAGAGCACCCCCCCTTCCCTCCTGTAACATTGGCAACAAGGGAAGAGCACCTTCCCTCCTACAATACTGACAAGGAAAAGACACTCTCCCTCCTGCACCACTGACAAGGGGAAACCACTCCCCATCCTGCTCTACTTTCAAGGGGAAACCACTCCCCATCCTGCTCTACTTTCAAGGGGAAACCACTCCCCATCCTGCTCTACTTTCAAGGGGAAATCAGACAGGAAAATCCTGAAGATCTTTCTCAGCTAATACTGGAATTGATGATGAGTTAATTCACTGAGCCACTAGTGTTTTACGTCAGGGACATTTACATGATAATGATTTCAAATTAAAACACTGTGAGACTGGCATTCCCCGAACAAGACAGAACTGGACTTGAAATGTGGTTGAAAACCTTTGAACTGTAGAGTGTATGCAACGTTTCTGTGACTGGGATAAGAAAGTTTCTGTGACTGGGATAAGAAAGTTTCTGTGACTGGGATAAGAAAGTTTTGTAGGATAAGAATATTTTTTATTGTGCATGGTCATCAAGTCCATATTTGTTCTGAAATGATGTGTCTTTAAAACTTGTTAATGTTAATAAGTTTTGGTATTCACTAAAATAATAATCAATCAATTTTATTAATGAATAAAAATAAAACAAATGAATAATATACACAAGATTTTATTAAGGGTATCGGTATTAATACAAAATTTACAAACACAACAGATAATATGATCGAAGCAGCACCATAGATCCTAGTGACAACAGATAATATGATCGAAGCAGCACCATAGATCCTAGTGACAACAGATAATATGATCCAAGCAGCACCATAGATCCTAGTGACAACAGATAATATGGCCTGAGCAGCACCATAGATTCTAGTGACAACCTGAGCAGCACCATAGTTTATCATCTTCACCTAACCTTGAATTTATTACACGACCAAATACAAAGTTTTACCAAAAGATAGAGAAAAATGGGATTAAACGTCCACTTGACACAAACTAGATCATTTCGGGGAGGTTAAATTTTATTTCAATAATTCGCATGCTAGTAGGGGCTTTTAGCAGTAAAGTTAAAGAAGTGGTCCTGTACCTTATAAAGCATGGTAAATTGAGACCACTTAATCTTTCCTTACAAAAAGATGTATTTGCATAGTTATCCGTCAATAATGCATCAAATTAACCCAATTAATAATTTATTTTAACTTAAACAGATTTAAACACAATTCCATAGAATACAATTACTGTTTATTGTCGAGTGATGTTATGAAGGTAGCTAAGTGGGTAACACCCTGGCTCGCTAGCCTGGGGGTCGCGTTTTCGATCCCTGCATTGGCCGAGAAAGTTCATCGGGATTTTCTGGCGTGGTTTTCCTCTTGTCAGAGTGGTGCAGAATGGAGGGCCTGACAAAGATAGCTGTCTAGTCGTTTGGATGGGATGAAAAACCATAGACCTGTGTATACATTGGCGTCCACGTAAATGATCCCTTGGCAGATGGAATTTGATATAAGAGTAGGCCATAGTGTCGATGCCCGGGCATGCCCATCTTCATTAGCCCAGTCGGAACAGAACAGAACAGTAGGATGTTGAACCACATTAGCCCAGTCGGAGTAGAACAGCAGGACGTTAAACCCCATTTCATTTCCGTTTTAACTAGTCGTTATCAAGCCATGACAACTGTGTATTACTGTGAGATGTTTCAAAAATTAATTTTTATCCTCTTTCATTCCAGTTATATTACTAAAAGGTCACATGATTTTAAATCTAAGGTCACATGATTTTAAATATAAGGTCACATGATTTTTATCATCACACACGTCTAATTATGTTTTATATAAATTCTTAGTCTTCTGTTCTTTATGTTCCTCAGATTTGTATGTCACAAAATGAAGGCCTATAATCTGTGTAAAGGCCTATATGTCACGAAATGAAGGCCTACAATCTGTGTAAGGGCCAATATGTCGCGAAATGAAGACCCCTACATCTAATCATATTGTTCAAATTTATTCTTCCATATCTTCGGTATTTATTAACAATTTTAACTTCTGTTGTCCACGTAAAATTCCTACACGTAATTTAGCGGAGGTGTCGAGAGCTGTATAAATATCGTTTGATGTTTGTATCTCCTGCTCGTTGATGTGAGTTATTACATCACCCGGACGAAGACCACCACTAAAATAGAAACAAATATTATGTCAATTATTATTTTTGATCAAAATAATTTAGTCAAAAGCAAATGAAATGAGGTTTAATGTCCTACTCTTCAAGCTCCATCTGGGCTAATAAAGATAAGTATACGCCATACAGTGTGCTATGAGGGACATTTTGACTAGACAGCAGCGCTACTGCCTACTCTTATATAAATTTCCAAATGCCAAGGGATCTTTTACGCCAATGTGTACACAGGACCTTTGTTTTATGACTATACATTATTCCCTGCCAGACCCTCTATCCTGCACCACTGACAAGGGGGAACAACGCTGGGAAATCACAATGAACTTTCTTGGCTAGGCTACAAGAGATAGACACAAGCCAGGCTACAGGAGATAGACACAAGCTAATTTTTCTTGTACCGCAAGGTTTCCATCTACTCTTCAATTACAACTGTGAAGGGTTCTTTTAGGTGCACGTCAATGAGTACACATGTGGACCTCAAATTTTCCTCCCATCCACAGGACTAGACATTTTCCATGCCAGGCCCACAGGATTAGATAATATCCTTGCCAGGCCCACGGGTCTAGATAATTTAACTTACTGATAAGCCGGAGATCCAATAATTATTTTATAAACGTAAACACCGGTTTGAGTATCAGGAAAATCCCGAACTCGTTCCTTTAATTCCATGGCAATACTAGGGGTCAAGGTCAACATCGTGATACCCATATAACGTCTTTTCTTGACACCAACGTCTCCTCCTCCACCTAACCAACCTTTCTTCTTACTTTCAACTGAAATAAAACAACACAAGCTAATTAAAATATGCCAATACAACAGTTTTATCTCAACTGTAGTTTATTCGAAAGGAAAACTTGGAAGCTGAGAAAATTTGATAAAGATCTAAGATCCTTGAAGAAATCTAATCTCTAGGGTTTATCCTCATCCACTGGTTCCGACCAATCGCGTTCATAAGGTTTTCAGCAAAGGGGGAATAACTAAGGAAGGGAAGGCTGCAGATTATGAATATCAAAGACCCTAATGCTTCAAGCCAAATATGAAAGAGATATATTAAAAACTATATTTTTATCGGAAAAGGGAGCATAACTTAGGAACAAAAAGTTGGGCTCCCCTATATATTATACTGAAAGGCTTCACAATAACGTGGGGAGTTGGATGGCCGAATAGTCTGCACGTGCGCGCTGTATCATAAGGCCTGTCATTGAGTCGACTGGCGTGGTTTCGAATCCCCGGTTGTACGTGACAAGGAGTAGGGGTCGCCTGTCTAACCTCGTGGGTTTCCTCCAGGTCCTCCGGTTTCCTCCCACTGCTAAAGACCCCTACGCGCAAGCGAATTATTGAAATAAAATTAAACCATATGTTAGTCCCAAAATGACCTAGTTTGTGTCAAGTGGACGTTAAACCCCATTTTTCTCTCTCTCTCTCTCTCTCTTTCACAATAACGTCTTATATATATTTCACAATAACGCCCTTGTTTGGGTCCCCTATATACTGAAGGGCTTCACAATAACGCCCATGTTGGGATCCACTGATTAATTAGGATCTTATAACTATACATGCTTTATAATCAACCACCAAACAGTAAAACCTGTCTGTATCATTACAGACCTGGGACTGTACAGTGCAGTGGGGGCCTACGACTGACCCCGGATCCATTTGATATCTGTTGTTTATTTCTTGCAATGTCTTCCCTGTCCGGTGGTTTGTCTTGTTCACAGGTTTGTCTTGTTAGTTTTGTTTTGTGTGTAGTGTGGTTCTCCAGCACTTATTAATATAGTGAGGTCCGAGGTCACAATTTTGTATAAATTCTTACAATCACAATTTTGTATAAATTCTTACAATCAACAACAAGAAAACCCTAACCAATGGTAATGAAACGGTACCTTTTTTTGTATATTTTTCTGCTTTTATCAAGAAATCACTAGCAAAATCAGAAGGAATGGCAAACGATATTCCGGTGGTAACTTTCATTGTATTTATACCAATAACTTCACCATCCTGTAAATATAAACAACAGTCACTATGGGAACCAATATAAACAACAGTTACTATGGCAACCAATATAAACAACAGTTACTATGGGAACTGAGATGTAATCAAGAAGTAGTATCAGATGTTCTATGGTATACACGACACAACTTGCATAGATGGATTGGAATCGCAAAACATCATCGCCAAAATCAATTTTTTTATCGCCACTTTCATATTTTTATAGCAAATTGCGACTTTGGCGACCGACAGTGTGAGCCCTGATTGGAACCTCCATATCAAGCACCAGTGTTTGAAATTAATAAACATGGGAGGGCTAATAAAAAACAAATCAGTCTTCTAGAAAAGCTTTCAATAACATGGTTAGGAGAGTTCTATAACTCCTATAGTTTATATTAGATGAAGGGAGTCACAGTGGCTCGATGGTTAGAAGAGTTCTATCACGTATCACGGCTATAGTTTATATATTACAGGAAGTGAGTCACAGTGGCTCGATGAGTACAAACAACTTGTCACTTGACACAAACCCCAGTTTCAAACTTTAGATTAGCTTTCATTTCTTGTTTTTATTTAAACATACATAATGTTCTATTGAAATATAATCTTGTCCGACCCAAATGAATCTGTTTTTAGAAATATTTAGCATAAAGAGAGAGATAATTGGTTTTTAACGTCCACTCGACACAAACCAAGTCATTTTGGGACTAACATATGGTTGAATTTTATTTCAATAATTCACACGCATGTCGGGGTGAACAGATGTGGGAAACCGAAGAAAACCCACGTGATTTAGCATGAAATCTTACCATATTAACTAGAGGTCCACCGGAATTCCCAAACTGTAAAATATATCGAGAATATATAAATAATAATAATCATTTATTTCTATACCAGTAGCATATTAATAATTGAACTCATTCTTGAAAACTAGTCTCGCAATCTTACAGAGAAAGAATGATAAATGTGATTTAACATCCACTCAACACAAAATAGGTCATTTTGGGACTAACATATATTTACAGTAACCTTTTATTTTAATAATTTGCTTGTGCATAGGGGTTTTTAATAGTGGGAGAAAACAAGAGGCTCCAGAGAAAACCCACGAGGTTTGACAGGCAACTCTCTTGTCACATGCAAGTGGGAAATCGAAACCACGCCACTTGACTCAATGACAGACCTTATGATCTGAAGTGTAAATGTTAGACCAATCAGCCACCCACCCACCATTTTACACAAACTTACATTAATAACCGCATCTGTTTGAATATAATCCATATTTTTATTATGAAGTCCTAATTCCCGGCTTCCCCGATGAACACTGCTCACGATACCAGCTGTAACTGTGTTACTTAATGTTAACGGACAACCAAGGGCAACAACCCATTCACCTGGTCGCAATTCACACGATTTACCAAATTTCAGCGTTGGAAGATTTTTCTGTAAAAACAAAAAAACAAAAAATATTTATTGATCTTTAAAAGGAGATATATTGATTAAACTTTTGTTTCTAGTTTACTTTCCTTGCTGTTGTCTGTGTTGTCCTTGTTCTTGTCCCAACCCTGTGCACCGGGTATGGGACAAATCGCCCCTGGACAACTTGTCCCCTGACAACTCATCCCCGGAAAATTCGTCCGCTGGGACTATTCGTACCTGGATAATTTGCCCCTACACTTGTTTGGGGACAAATTGTCCTAGAGCCCGGTGCCCCACCCCAACAGTTACTGTTAAAGTTAAATCATATACAATTATTTACATTCTCAAATGGTAACTTTTGAAAAATTAAAAGTTGTTACTAGTCACTTTCCATGTTTTTGTCTATTGTAAGTGCAGGAGGACAGCACCACACACAATTACACAAGACAAACCTATGGACAGGACACATTATACAGACACCACAAACAACAACTGCACATATCAGATCTAGTGAGTTGGCCATTCTTGCTATAATAATTCAAAAATAGATGATTAAAAAAAGAAAATCTTGAAAATTTCAGTCAAATTACTTTGTTCTGAACGGAATTGTCACTGTTGGAAGTTTGGACTAGAAATAGGCATCAATTGTGTCTGCACCGTCTATGAGAATTGGCGATCATTTGATTGACAGACGATAACTACACCGACATATTCTCGATTATCAAGTAACATGCTCAATGGCTATGGTAGCCTTGCTTGGCAGGCCTTTCATCACCAGTTTCCAGTAGTGACATCAGCGACAAACGGTAACCGTTAGCTTGGTGCGCCATTTATTGATTTAATTTTAAAAGGACGACTGTTTAAATCCAAACTGTATCCAAGTCATTCGTGGTCTACAGAGTTGATTTTGAGCTTGTCGTGTAAATAAAGGTCTAATTAATAATTTCTATAACATTTGAAGCCTAAATAAAGACTTGGATAGGCAGATTTAGTTCTTGCATAATGTATGTTTAATCAATGAGTTGATTGGCAGTTTCCACTTACACCTTTAATTTTGATTGTTGCTAGATCAGAGATTTGATCCACGGCAGTCACCACCCCTTCGTACGTATCTCCATTGTGTAGTCGAACTCGGACAGACTGTTTATTGGCTACTACATGAGCATTAGTCATTATTAAACCATCTTCAGTTACGATAAATCCTGAACCATTTGATAAAGTTGCCATATTGCCATGATACGGATGTCTGAAATAAAATAGTTAAAAAATATGGTTTTTTTAATCAAAATGGAAGTTTATGTAAAAGTATCGCTTATTGGGGAAATTGCAGTCTAATAGGAAGTCGAATAGATTTTCTTAAAGGAGCTACATGTAGGTCTCTAACTCAATATTTTCTATAATATTCAAAATTAAAAACACAAATTAGAATCCAATATTGATCAATTTCAATCAATACTGATGTTGTTATCTTGCCGTGAAACTATTGGATCCCAATATCCAATATTTAAGACACAACAGTCGTGTACCCTATGGTTTCAGGTGCCATTTTGTAATGAACAAATAAAAACATATCCTACAACACAATGTGGAACTGGAAGTAATGTAATTAGTAAAGGCTGGTTCACAAACGACAAAATAATAATTTAAAAAACGTGTAAAAGGCACTAAGCAGGCGTAATCGACTGCTGTTCAATTTGAACTGTTCACATATTTCACCGATCATAATTAATTAGAAATTAAAATATTCTTTTTAAAAATTGAATATAAATCACTTTACATACATTCATATCACATTAGTATGTGCTTAGAACCAATTTTGTCTACTTTAAGTTTAAAACAAAATAGAGCCATACGCTTTTTAATACCTTCCTCTGATTTCTATATAAACAACAGCAGGTGCAGCCCCTTCTACAACATCTGCTATAAAGTTAATATGGCTGTTGTTACGACGACCAACTCCAGTAGTAGAACCCTTCTCAGCAGCTTCAACAGAAGGGGTTAAATTTTCTATATTAAATATATTTGCAAGGTTTTGTTGTCCGTTATAAAAATACGATAGTCCACCTAAAACACACGACGTGGCACCAAAAACATAAAACTTCTTTATCTTCAAATTTGTCCATGAGGAAAACCTCTGATTCGTGTGAAAAGTTCGCAGATTTTGTTGTATAAAGTTTTTATTTACGAAGTTTTGGCTTATCTTACTCTGTGGAAGAATCGAAAACAAACTTCGGAACAACATTTTGCATATAAAAATAAAATCCACACTGTTCTAAATAGTTTAATATCGAAAATTTAAATGTCAAATTCTACATTCTTGTGTTTTTGACGATTTGACGTCCATCTTTACAAACATATGAAAAATAGTTTCGTATTTTAGATAAAGTACGTTATTTTGACAATATAATTCTTTTTTACAATATGAAGTTTTAATAAAGATTGTTTAAATCGTCTACGTATTTGATAAATATATTTTAAGTTAGTAATTATTAGATTTTTATACAAATTGATTTGATACGAAACTATGAGACATGGAATGGGGGAAAAGGCGAACTCTGGGCGTAGGTAGTGCAAGTGTATGGACACCAGAGTCCACCAAAAATGGACTAATTAAGTACTGAGATTTAACATTTTAGTTTCTTAATCGTACCATAATATTGTATACAAGAGATCAAAGTTTAAAGATATTGCATAGACAGGACTGATTGATGAGGATGGAAATTTTTTTATTTAAAATATTTTTATCAAGTTTATTTGCTATCTGCCACAGTGTTTATTTTATTGATGAGACTCCAGGATTTGGAAGACGGTATGATGGCATCGGAGGACTCAGTGGTGGCTCAGTAATAAAAACATTCAATATTTACCTCACCTGCACAATCTGCTCTCTAACCATTTATAAATTCTAAGAAAATTTATTTTAAAAACTATAATAAAGATGATTTTATATTTTAAATTTACAATAATTCTGCCAGTTATTATTTTTGAGATATTTGCCCCGGTTTATGGTCCACTCAACACAAACTATATAATTTCAAGACCAACATTTTATTTCATTAATTTGTTTACACGTAGGGGTTTTTAGCAGTGAGAGGAAATCAGAGGACCCCAATAAAACCCTTAAGAGGTTGGACAGATGACCCTATAGACCTTCTTCTTTTGTGGAATAGAAACCACTTGACACAATGACAGAGAGAGAGAAATGGGGTTTAACCTCCACTCGACATAAACTAGGTCATTTCGGGACTAACATATGGTTTAATTTTTTTTATTTTAATAATGCGCTTGCGCGTAGGGGTCTTTAGCAGTGGGAGGAAACCGGGGGACCTGGAGAAAACCCACGAGGTTGGACAGGCGACCCTACTCCTTGTCACATACAACCATGCAGGGATTCGAAACCACGCCAGTTGACTCAATGACAGACCTTATGATACAGTGCACTCATGCTAACCATTCAGCCATCCAACCCCCCACACAATGACATACCTTATAATCTAAAGCATATGCATGAAACCATTCAGTCACCTCCCCCCTCCGTCCCCCTTCCGTCCCCCCTCTGTCACTCCTTAGTTTTGTGCATGTGCTAGTCGAGTAATTTGAAGGTTTTTTTCTCAAGATTTACAGTAGTTAATCTAGGGTTGGGGAATCTTGTATATAGGCCTACATATAATAATTTATATGTCTTATATTTTTGAACAATGAGAATATTTTCTAAGAAATCCTGCTTTGAATTAGTCTACAAATCTATCAATTCTAACCAACTGGATTTGCTTTTTTATAAAATGTTTCGAAATGACTTTTGCTATGGTTGTGTTGTCTGGCACCTGTTTTTTTTTATTTTCCAGGCAACATCAAAATTGTTGGTTGCTTACCCACAGAAGCAGAGAGATGAAATTCTTGACATCCTGTTTAAGGTAAGTTATTGGGTTAAGTTGACGATTTCTGATTACGAAAAGATCCTAGTTTTGATGGCTATAGTGAATAAGATGGTAGCTCGTTAACCTGGAAGTCGGGTGTTCGATCCCTGCATTGTCTGACAAAGTTCATCCAGATTATCACAAGGCCTTACCAACTTGATTTTCTCTTCTTCGCGATCACCTATTGAAATTTTGCTTCTTATTGCTTCAGGAAAAAGACTATAATATAAAAACCGAAAGTAGGCTTACTTGGTTTCTCTGTTCCAAATGTTTAAGTTTTGATATTTTAAAGGAAACATCTTTCTCGTGATTTAACTGGCTATTTATTTATCAAGGCCACGAAGAACGGAGAATTAAATTGATTTGGCCTGTAGAATAATTGATTGAGACACACAGGTTAAATTAGTTTTGCCTATAGACACAGGTTATATTGTTAAAAAAAAATTTTTTATTAAATTTTTAGCCCAATTTTGCTGCATCTCTCCAGATTTTAAAAGTTGAGATTGGTGGAGATTCACAAGCTTCAGGTAAAGTAGGTTCAAATTCTTTCCTTCTACAATTGTTTGCTTGTGTAAAGAACTTTCAGCCTCTCTCAATAAGTAAGCTTATTATTTTCTTTCAGTGCTGTGATTGATAGAACTTTACTGTGGTACTTGACAGAATTTTTCCGTGAGAGCAGTAGTTTAGATAACTGTACTTTAAACCCCAGAAAACCCACGCCTGTCCAACCTCATGGGTTTTCTCAAGGTCCTCCGGTTTCCTCCCACTGCTAAAGACTCCTACGCGCAAGCGAATTATTGAAATAAAATGACCTAGTTTGTGTAGAGTGGACATTAAACCTCATTTCATTTCTTTTCTATATCCAATGAAGACTAAAGGGAGATAATCTGGAGGTTGATATAGGAGATACTTGATTGAACGTTCCGGAATTAAATTCTCTTACTTCCCAAAAAAGTGTCAGTCGAGTGAAAAGGACAATTTCGGAGTACAACTGATGTGCCGACTGCATAAAAAAATATCTCAACCAATCATGGCAGCTGAAACATATTTGTTATTTAAAATAAGTCACGATTCTACTCAAACCACCTCAGCTGTTGGGACCGGCAGAACTGTGACAGAACTGAATTCCATATGACTTGATTGCAATTCTGTCAATTGGGGACGTTCCGGATTGACAATCGAGCACCCCGAAATTAGCCTGTTGATTTTGCTAAACCACATTTTTCTATTTTAAACAATCTAAAAGACTAAAGGGAGATAATCTGGATGTTAATAAAAGTTTATCTTATTTCACAGATGCTACAGAAGCATCACATATGCACAACAGTTCCGAAGAAAGTTATGACAGAGGTTATGAATGGTGGCTTATGAAAGAAGCAAAAAAGGTGAGGTTTTGGGAATATGCTCTAACCCCCTCTGGCGCCATGTGGAATTGCACTGTATAACATGTTCAAAAACCTTACTTTATCATGGAATTGACAACAAATCTAAGCTTGGACAAAACTTTTTTACTTTGTTATACAAAATGTATCATCAGATAAACTGCTGCTGTTTCCATGAACAGTTTGAGAAGTAAACGACCTTTAAAACAGCTTGACTTCTAGTTTTATACTTTAACAAATAAACATTTCCAGTTTAACACTGAAATATCTGATATCCATAACAAATTATTTAATTAAAAAAACAAGACTAAGCATTTAGTGAGCAATACCAAAAATACATACATTTGAATTGAGAATCAATTTTCAGTACTGTATGTAAAAATTATGTCCTCACTACTTGCTTGTTCCAGAGAAACGAGAATATCAAATTATATGGTCTACCATGGGCGTTTCCTGGTTGGCTTGGTAACGGAACACAGAATCCCTATCAGAATATTGACCAACTGGCAGAATATGTGATGAAATGGGTTCAGGGAGCTAAGGATTTTAATGGTTTAAATATAGATTATATTGGGGTGAGTACAGATCAGTTCTTGTAGCGCCGCTCTCAAGGCAAAATTACCCTAATAGAACATTGCATGGCATATGGCCATCTTCATTAGCCATTAAATTTCTGCTCGTAATTCAGATTTCCTAAGTCTGATCTTTGCTCAACTCAGCTCAAAATGTTCGGTCCATTTGATCTAATTCCATTTTTTTTTCCCTCTCCTAAGTCGAAGCGGCAGTATGTTCAGAATTTGACTAAGTCAGTTTCGGCCCGATGGTCTAAAACACGGTTAGGTATTCCATGCACAGAGCCCTATCAGTTTGACTCAAATCAGCCTATTTGACGCAACGCAATAATAGAATTTTCTCGGAAAATTTGAAACTCACTGTCTGCTGTACGAGACACTTTTCCGGGAAAATTTAGGACATTTTTCAAAGATGGCGACAAAACAGAAGTTATCTACTCGCACATACGCACAAAAGCTTGAAATCTGCCTTTGAATCAATTATTATCCGGCTTCTTGAAGTTTATTTCTAATCGTGCTAAGATTGAATTTCAGTTTTCGGCTAACTCAGATCTTCGCTTAACTTCACATAGAATCCCCAGTAAAATACAAACAAAGATCCTGGTCATCAATATGAATGTCAATTATTGGTTTATATTTGTTTCAGATATGGAATGAAAAATCGTACAATATTCCCTACATTAAGGTAAATTCCATGACATTTAATACAAGACACACAGTGGTATAGATTAAAGGTTATTTAAATATGAAATGAATTTTTTTTTTTGAAGGCCTGGGGTTTGATTATGCGCAATTCATGATTACCCATATTATTTAGTGTACTGTGTAGGTAATTTTAATTTAAATCTAGCATTTATGTCAATTACTGGCCATTCTATACATTGTGTGTTTACTGGCAACCATATTTTAATCTAGCGTTTACGTCAATTACTGGATGAGAATCTACTAACAGAAACAATGATTGTTGCTGCTGATTTATTTGGTGATAAAAGCCTTGCCAGCCATATTATAGCTGATCCTGATTTAAATAATGCTATCTTCGGTATTGGGTAATTTCCCTTTCTTTGTCCTGTAATTACCTCCCCTTTGTCCTGCAATTATCTCCCTTTGTCCTGTAATTACATCTCTTTTGTCCTGTAATTTATCTGTCCGATTTTCAATGGATTTGAATCCGATCCGTTGATGATTAATCGCAAAAATGGATAATCAAGGCTTTGTTACTTATCGTGACAGCGCTAACAATGACAATCGAGGCTACAAAGATTTTAAAATAAGGTTTTCTTGGCTTAGAGTGAAGCAATTTGATTGAAATTTTCACCCTATTTCCTTTACATTTCTAGTTTTTAACTATTATAATGAAAACTGCCAACTTTTTATCTAATCTTATATAATGTATCTTTAATTCATAAGACAGTACTTAAACTTGGGTCATATTTTTAACTAAACTGCTATAAAATTCTATTTGTAACATACAGATTGGTCAAATCATTATCAGATGCTGTTTGTAGATCATTGTCTAAGTTTTTAGGAAATGTTTTCTTTTGTCTTGCTTTTAATTTAGTCTTTTTACCAAAGAAATAGGAAGCACAAGAATTAAATTGATGTTGACCTAAATAAATACCCTATTACATCTAAACCTTATCTGGCATACCACACCTATCTTTAACCAGCTCATCTGGCTTACTACACCTATCTTTAACCAGATCATCTGGCTTACTACACCTATCTTTAACCAGCTCATCTGGCTTACTACACCTATCTTTAACCAGATCATCTGGCTTACTACACCTATCTTTAACCAGCTCATCTGGCTTACTACACCTATCTTTAACCAGATCATCTGGCTTACTACACCTATCTTTAACCAGCTCATCTGGCTTACTACACCTATCTTTAACCAGATTCTCTACCAGCTCATGTAAATTAATTTGATCAGAATATTAATGTTTTACAGACTTCACTACCCAGGTACCAACACAACTATAGAACAGGTACGAACAGGTAAACCTATCTGGGCATCAGAAGATTATAGTACCTTTAATAATAACACAGGTGGTGCTTGCTGGGCACGGGTTCGTATAATTATAATATATCATTCAGGCGTAACCCAGGGCACGGGTTCGTATAATTATAATATATCATTCAGGCGTAACCCAGGGCACGGGTTCGTATAATTATAATATATCATTCAGGCGTAACCCAGGGCACGGGTTCGTATAATTATAATATATCATTCAGGCGTAACCCAGGGCACGGGTTCGTATAATTATAATATATCATTCAGGTGTAACCCTGGGCAAGGGTTCGTATAGCTATGATATATCATTCGGGCCCTGGGTATGAGTTTGTGTAACTGTAGCACATCATCATGCTGATAGAATATTCTTCAAAATATCGCCAAAATTAATTAGTAATTGTTCTTCCATAAGTATGTTCCAGCCTTACACCTTAATGCAGGTTGGGCAGGACCTGACAACGAAACATTTTCTAGTCATTCGGATGGGATGAAAAACTGATGTCTCATGTTTACGTTGGCATGTACATAAAAGATAGTTTGATGAAGAGTAAGCAAAATATTTCCTCTAAGTACACTCACAGCTGCCGTTGGCTTGTTTATGAATGTTTGTATCATTTTCAAATCATCATATTTTGAATTAAATCAGTGATTTTAAAGAAAGTAACTTTATTTTATTTCAGGACAATAGCATGGAATCTAATTGATAGTTATTATACAGGCTTACCGTGGGATCGTGATTCATTGATGACGGCTCGGGAACCCTGGAGTGGATATTATCAAGTAGAAAGCCCCATATGGGTCACAGGTCAGAATCATAGAAATATTAGTTTTCAATTCTCATAGACAAAATCAGTGTAGATTCAGATTTATTTCATCATACTGTCATATTGACAACAACTAAGTCAGGAATTGATTAAATCTTGTGTTTGCGTTGACCGTCACAACTGGCTCATAATATCTTGGAATTTTCTGAAATGAATTACATCAGATGTTTTGTCATGGACTACTTGAGTTTATATTTGACTTCCTGGATAGATTCAGCCTATTTAATAGGGTGGGACATGATTTGTTTTTGATCAGTTAGAACAACACTGGATGGATGAATACAACCAAACATCACATTTCAGTGCCTTTCCAGGAAATTTATAATATTTTAGAAATAATGCTCAGCTCAAATTTCTCGATTTCATACTCAGGATTTAAAATATTGACATTAGGTTATAAATCATGTAAACCCTTTTCTGGAACACTTGGTACCACTTTCCATTATGGAAAATGATTCTTTAGTCTTGTCATTCATGCAAGGAACAGCATTTAATTGTTCAGATGGGATGAAAAACCAGGTAAAAGCAACCTTGGAATTTGATGAAGTAAGACAGAATGTCGGCTGTCAAGGCACAAGTTTTCTCACAGCACACTGAATGATGTACATGTGTCTCTATTTGCCAGGTTTTATACTTCACTTGACTTTGTATGTTGGCGTTTGATGGACTATACTCTAAGCCTGTTTTCCAGTCTTTTCCGCGCACATTTACACTGGTTACATGGAAATGGTCCCATAACATTTGCATTAGACATACTTTCTGACCGGCAAAAACGTGCACATGCAATACAGGACTACTCTTTTTGACCGGCGAATACAGGCCTTACTCTTTTTTTTCAGCACATACAACCCAGTTTGTTTATCTTGGATGGGTTTATTTACGTCATGGATCTGGTGTTGGATTTCTAGAAAATGGTGGTAGTTATGTAACTATGACAACAGATGAATCCATCAATAATGATTTCGCATTAATTATCGAAACCATGGTAATATTTATCATTTATTCTTGGATTGGATTTTAGTTTTAATCTCTGAAATAGCTCTTCAACACAATATTTTGACATTACATGGTATCAACACGTACAATACTCTGGTCATTTTGAGACAAACGTATGATTTTTCTATTTATAGACCCATGACCATTCAGCCTGTATTCGACCACCATTACCATATTACCCAGTAGCACCACAGAATGTCACGTTTGTTCTCAAGGGAAAATTTGTAAGTATTGTATCCAGCACTTCTGGTTATATTGGATGAGTATGGAAGAATATTTACAAACTTTATGATACATTAGTGAAACAAAATGGGGTTTAATGTCCTTTCCTTCACCAGTTGGCTCAATATTAGGGGTTAGGGTTAGTACATTCTCTCTCATATTTCTCTAATGCCATTGGTTGACTCTTCCAGTGCTATGTCCTTTTACTGGTTGTTATTGTATTATTAGAAACTAGACTGTTGAAATTATACAAACATCATGAAGACAATTTGTAAAATGAAGACATTTGTTCTCCTTTACCAAGTCTGATTGGTTTAGCGCCTAGACATTCAAATGAGACAAAGAACCATGTACAAATTGGCATGCATGTTAAAGAACCCTTGACAGTTGGAATTCGAAGAGGAGTAAGGGCTGTTCGGGCCTGAATTTTTTGCCTGTTAGAAATTATTGAAGCTGTGCTGTATTATTGTTGAACAAATGATCTGTTATATTATTGAACAAATTATTGCTATGATATTATTATTGAACAAATTATTGCTATGATATTATTATTGAACAAATTATTGCTATGATATTATTATTGAACAAATTATTGAACAAATTATTGAATAATCAATCAATTATAATATACAGATGGATACGTTTGGAAGTTTAAATGTCTGGTATACCAAGCTGGGATTTAACGGAGAACAGTCAACATACTTTAAGCAACTGAAACCAGTTACAGTTAGTTTTCCCTTCAATAATATTTTAATTATTTTTATAAACCAGTGACGGTTAGCATTCCCTTCAATAATATTATAATTATTTTTATAAATCATTGGCTCAAGCTTTAAATAAAAAGTACTGGCAGTATTGTTGAATTTTTGATGCCTAGCGGTAAGGGATTTCCCCTTGTAAGTGTTGCATCTGTGTCCGTAGGATTGTCTTGTGTAATTGTGTATGATGTGCTGCCACCCCCCTGTACTTACTACGAAGTCAACATGTTAGATCTATTGTGATGAGCCCCCCACCCCCCCTGTACTAACTAGGAAGTGAACTTGTTAGATCTATTGTGAATTTATATTTAAACAACAGGTTACCAACAATTAGTTTAATCTGAGTCTAGGATTGAATGAAATCTGGACAATAACAAACGCTGGTAACGGTAACCATGGAATAACACCAACACCACCACCATCAAAACCATTTCCTCTACCATATAGAGAAAATTTTGAAGGTTTGTTCATAATTACTCTTATATAAGATTGTATTTCAATCCATTAAAAATCATGACCATCTGATGATCTAGAGAGTTGGACTTGTCATGTGAATAATTGTCTAATTTTAATTATTACAATATTTGTATAATGAGACACAACCCCAGTAACCAGTATAAGCCAGACGATCTCCATAATCAAGAGGTTTATTAATCAAACGTTTCCAACATGAGGAGTCCGTCTTTCAGTATTAAAATATTTATAAGATTTGAAAGTACCTGAAATAGACATATTTAGCCTGTTACATGTCTAATTAATCAGAATTGTATCCTGGCTTGGAGATAGTAGTAGGATGTTAAACCCAATCTCATTTTCACGTCCATAGTAATCATTGATTATATATCAACGTCATTAAAATTTATTTTATTCTTTTACAATTAAATATTTTTTGAAATATGGTTAGATGTGTCATAAATTTAAAAATGGTTTTCATATTTTGTCATTTATGGCATTTAGAAATGAAGAGATCTCTAAACAGATACATTAGCACTTTCATCAAATGACATTTTCTGAATACTGGTACTATATTAATTATGAATGATTAATGATTTTAACAGAATATGTTGATGACAGTGAAGCGTATTATTTTGCCCAGCAGTGTGGAGTTTACGAGATTGTAACTGTGGAGAAACCGTATAATAAAGTGATACGACAGACTGTATTACAGGAACCAATCGTATGGTGTGAGACAGCTGCTTTAACAAATAAAACGTTGAATCTTATTGGGGCTACAAACTGGTATCAGTATATTTATATATTTGACCATGGACTATATTCCTATAGCACTTGGAGTCAGACCACCATTACCATGTATTATATCCCTATATCCCTTTGAGTCAGACCACCATTATTATCGACTAGATTCCTATACCACTTGGATTCAGACCACCATTACCATGTATTATATCCCTATAGCACTTGGATTCAGACCACCGTTGCCACAGGATTTTCTTTTGTGGTTTCCCTGGTCAGTTACACTCCATTTAATTTCATGATTCAAACAAATATGTTGCAGACTTCTTCACTAAAATATGAATCGAAGGACAGGTGGTTGAGTGGTCTAATGTATATGCTTTAGATCATACGGTCTGTCATTGAGTCAAGTGGCGTGGTTTGGATCCTGGACTTATACATGACAAGGAGTTGAGTCGCTTTTCCAACCTAAAGATCCCTACATGCAAGCAAATTATTGAATTAAAATTGAACCCTATTATGTTAGTCCCATAATGACCTAGTTTATGTCAACCCTACCCTCTCTCTCTCTCTCTCTATCAAGTGGTGGTTTAACCCACCCCCTTTTTATCAAGTGGGCGTTTAACCCACCCCCCTCTCTCTCTATTTTAGGACGGATATTTATATAGAAGCTGATGCCCGTGTTAATCATGATAACCGAACATCGGGTGTTTTTCTGGCAGGAAGGGTAGATAATGCTGGATGTACAAGTTACGCAGCACAGGGAATATTCTTCTTTATCCAGCCAGCTGATCAAACTTTCTCTGTGTCATCAGATTTACGTAAGTTCCTGTCAACACCTTTAGCTCCATAATAACTGAAGGACTCGTAGATAGATCTTGAAACACCTTCACTCTTGCACATCTGTGCTGACTCATTGAGAAAATACTGACATAATTCCATTATTATTCTAATAATGTTTAAATTTTGAGGTGGTGCCTAAGACAGAAACTAATTGCATGATGAAAATGTTTGCACTTGTGGTTAGACAAATCATCGTCCTAACTAGTCATTCACCGTTCTCAATGCCAGGAGGACAAGGTTTTGTTTCCCCATAAAGGGTGTCAAGCAAGTTGAAGCAACTATCATGTGTAGAATTATATCCCATATACATATTGACGTGCACAAAATAGAAACTGTGGCAGTTGTAACCTGTGGGTCCAGATTTTCCGGCGTGGTTCTCCCTTGTCAGTGATGCAGGATGGAGGGGCTGACAAGGAAAGCTGTCTAGTCGTTCGGATAGGACGAAAAACCGAGGTCCCGTGTACACATTGGCGTGCACGTAAAAGATCCCTTGGCAGTTGGAATTCGATATAAGAGTAGGCCGTAGTGCCGCTGTCCGGGCAAAATTTCCCTCATTGCACACTGTATGGCGTATGCCCGTCTTCATTAGCCCAGGTTAGGAGCAGAACAGTAGGACGTTAAACTCCATTTCATTTCATTTCATTTTGTAACCTGTGGCAACTTGAATTCAATGATGAGTAGGCTGTAACACTGCTGTCTCCCACTGGCTGATTGGTACAGAACAGTAGAACGTTAAACTGTAATTGATGTTTCTATTGGTTCAAATCTTGTAGAAATGACCAATCAAATGTTTCCTGTCTTGTAGAAATGACCAATCGAATGTCTCCTATCTTGTAGAAATGAAGAAAGTATTAGTGACCAGAAGAAAGTCAACGAGTATCAGCAGTGACTGGAACAAAATATCGTTATTGATATCTGTACGTAAATGATATAGAGTTATTTCCCTTAGTTCTAACATCATTAGCCAACTAGTCGTTTTACAGATCAAAAAGTTTTTAATAGAAATGGAGTTAAAATAATATCGACAATAGAGGGGAGACTTATCTGTATTTTTACACTTTTATTAGGGTTTTTCATTTTGTTCTTTGATTGGTCTAACATGTATGTTTTAGACCAAAAGGTCTGTCATTGAATCAAGTGGAGTGGTTTAGTTTCATCACTTATATGTGACAAGAAGTAGAGCTGCCTGCAAAACCTCCTAGTTTTTCTTAGGTTCCTCCCACAGCTAATTAAACCCCATCTGTCTCTCTCTATCATGAAACAATGAAATGCTATTAATTGGGTATTTTATTATAATTTTAGAAAACATACAGTATCGGAATGGTAAACGGAGAGGAGCTGTTTAATATTACAATACAATCTGCTCCTGCCCAGGGTTTTGTCGCTCTTGGAACACAAGATTTCGGATCAGCTGATTTTGATAATGTGAATATTACCAATATCCAAGATGGAATCCATCGATTAAAACAACTTCAAGATCAGCGTTTGTATTTCCATAGAAACAATTAAATTATATTTTTATTTCAATGGTTGTCTTTTTAATCTGTCGGAATACCAGCCGAGACATTAATATATATCTATGTAATTTTATTGGGCTTCTAATGTGACGTTAGCAAGCAGTAAGGTTGAGATTGTAATGTGACGTTAGCAAGCTGTAAGGTTGGGCATGTAATGTGAAGGTGGCAAGCTGTAAGAATTTCTACAATAGTACAATATGGTTGAATCATGAGAACCGATATATCATCATATCTTGTAAGTTGCATATGGAAAATTTATCAGTCGTGAACTAAGGTAATGTGATGTCTCATTCAGACTTCAGAGCTGAACTAATCCAAACCCTAACTAAGAAAGGAGGATTTTGTAATCGCTACACCACCCAGTAACAGTATTTTCATTATGGTAGACTTTAATCGCTTCAATTAAATATTTGAATGTTGTAAATTTAGCACTGGCACTCACTTGCATGGAAGCAGCCATTTTGAAAGACCCGACCCTAAATATAACTGTGAAGTAAAAACAACCAATCAGGAGTCAAGTCTGATTCTTTCGTTGGTGCACAGTCTAAAATATTTAAACCATAAAATCAGCATTCCAAGTTACCACTAGTTGGCCAACTCTTGCTCCGACAGCCCCGACCTTTCCCAGATGCCCCCATCCCGCCCTGACTGTCCCCACCTTGCACTGACTCCATCTTGCTTCGACAGTCCCCATCTTGCCCTAACAGCCTCCATCTTGCCCTGACAGTCCCCATCTTGCCCCGACAGTCCACATCTTGCTCTGACAGTCCCCATCTTGCCCCGACAGTCCAGCTTGCTCTGACAGTCCCCATCCTGCCCAGACAGTTCCCATCTTGCCCTGACAGTCCCCATCTTGCCCCGACAGTCCCCCATCTTGCGCCGACAGTCCCCATCTTGTACCAACAGCCTCCATCTTGCCAAGACGGTCCCCATCTCAACCTGAAAGCCACCACCTCGCCCAGACAAACTACACCTTGCCCAAGACAGTTCCCACCTCGTCCTGACGGACCCCACCTCGCCCTGACGGTCCCCACCTTTCTCCTTGAAAGAAAAAAATTAAACAAAAACTATTATTGAATAAAGCCATTTATTGCAAGAAAAAAAAAGATGATGTTTTTATTTTTTTATTTGTATCTTCATTGAATTAATCTTACTATAATAAATGTTAACATCTTGTCTAAATAAAACATTTTACTACCTTCGTAACTTTACTCCGTATAAAATAAAACTACTGTCATCGCCATCTACAAACAAATAACGCTACATAAAAAACACACAGCTACAGGGTAAACGTTTTAGTCACATGATCTACAATTAACGTTAATATATGATCTGATGTGGCGCATGATGAATTGTTGCCCTTTATTGATCTCCGGAATGCGGTTGTTTTCAGAAGTTTGACGTGGTACATAATAAATAACCAGTGTATTTGATCTCCAGAGGGGTGGAGCCTAATTAAAGAATAATTTACGTCATTCCAGCTGACGATTCACATTATCTGGTAACGAAAGAAACAAATGAACAGAAAGGGGAGGATCAATTGTACGTTCAGAACGTTCTCATTTGACGTTTCTACCCGTCCTGAAAACTGTGAGCAGAATCGTGGCATAATGAAATGTTTCATTTCAGCTACGATAAGTCGATGCATGTCGCCCGTGATTCACATGTTTATTGATGTCCTTTTGATGGTTTGAGAGAATTCAATTCTGAAACGTTCAATCGACCATCCACAGGATCTTTACATCTAAAATCTTCAAATTTAACAAATTTCTTTCTAAGGCATAGATTCAATCTTAACAATATCAAGGCTAACATAACAATTCATTGAAAAAAAAAAGGCATTTTAATTTTATAAACATTTCATTAGAATTATAAACTGTGAGTTTATTTCATATACCGTATATTTCTTGACATTTGTTTTTTCTTTAAAACCATGGTAACAATACATTGTATAAGTTATAAACAGACGATTAAAAAAAGATAAACAATCGGAGGGTTTTATTTCAAAGCAAAAGCAGTGATAATAAAGATAACATGTCAGATCAAATAAACAACTTGAAATCTGGTTGAAGACACGAATAAAACAAAATATACAATCTATCTAGTTCTGTTTCTTAAATTCAAGAAATTGTTAAACTGTTGGAGTCGCTGCTCTTTAGACTTGAATTCCGTAATTGTAACAAGCATAAATATGTCCAGCATGCAAAATGTTTAAAACTTAGAACCCTGGGTAATTGTTATAAATGTGTTCGTATTTTCACCAGATTTCAAGTTGTTTGTTTCATTAACAAAATAAGATTAGCAATTTCAACTAAAGACTTGTATAATGATTCTACTAGTAGAAAAAGCAAGTGCTATGACAGTGAAAGACTGGTATAATATGTCTACTATGAAATTTAAAGCGTAAAAAGACTTTATTAATATGTCCAATTTTTGCATATTTTTCTACTCGACAGATTACTATATTATATGGTCATTGTGACCAACTGATCATTAATTGCTATATATGGTCATTGTGTCATTATATGTTAAAAATTCTACTTATACAAATAAACAATAAACAATAACATGATTAATTAGACAGTATATTCCAACAGAGTTGCGTAACTTGTTTTGTCTCCGCCATAGTTCGCGTTAACGGTTATTTTTGTGTTCTTTCCGTAGTGTTTTTCGACATCGATGACTCCTCCCCATTCGTTTCCTTGTAGTTTTTCTAGGTGTGTCCAATCATCCCCGGCTACGACCGCCACTGCATCGGCTTTTGGAATCATCAGACGGAAATTAACCTGTGGGGGCAGACGGTCTCGGCTAATCTTCTGTCCGTTTGGTCCAGTCGTCGAGGCGATGACACCTGGTTCGTACATAAAGCATCCTTCCTTCCACTGTGCGTATTGTTTGGGGAAGGGGAACACGGCTTGTTTGACCTCTCGACAGTTGATCAGGTAGTTATAAACACCAGGTAATTGTTGACTGCTGTCGTTAACGGGGCAGGCATACAGCTGTAGTTTGTAGAAACCTGTATGTGGAAGGTTGACGATGAAAGTAATCAGGGAACCCATTGTATGAGCAAAGATAAATTCTGGATGTTCGACCTCACTGCTATCATCCTGAACAGCCAACAGGTTACCGGTGACACGGAGCGGGGCCTCTGATCTAATCTGTATCGTCACAGTGTTTGTGTCAAGATGAATGATTGGATCATGATGACTTGCTGTCGACAAACCAAACTCGGTAAATTTACTTTGTGGGCCGAGATAACCAGGGGGTAATTTAGGTAGGGGGGTCGTCTTCACGTCTTCGTTACAGACGATTACATACTGAGCTACGTGATATAACGTGGTACCTTCTTTGACAGGATCATTGGCATAGATCTCCAGACCGTACTCTCCTCTCTGGGGTGCTGTGACGTTAAAGAAAGCAGTGTTACCAACGACACGATGTACGACGTAACCCTCCAGATCTCCATCACTGTGATGGTTACTCTTCACTTTACCCATGAACTGCATCTGGTGCGGAATCTTGATCTGAACCTCGGCCTTTCCATCTCGGGTAAATATACATGCCGTCTGCTGGTAGGTTGTTAACCCGTATCTGTTAAAGCTTGGTCCGGGACCCCAGTTCAGGTACGAACATGGAGGGAAGGGTTCTGGGGCAGGGTTGGCACTATCCTCTTGAACTATCTTGTACTCGCAGACCTGGGCGTAGACATTTTCTTTGTTTTCTGGCGTATCCTCTTTAGCGTAGATGTACAGGATGTACGAACCTTTGATGGGAAGACGGAGACGGAATGACGCGATACTGCCAACGCTTTCTTGCATCCCATAACGATTCAACTTGACGCCTCGGTATTCTTCTTCTCCGTTCTCAAAGCAGATGGTGAAATTGAACGTAACAGCAAGTTTCTGGGCGCTGTAACGCAGACGGATGTTAATTTCACCCCGACTGTAGATGACAGCAGTTCTGTGCGTGACGAATTCCAATTGATATTTAAAGAACTGGGGTTTCATGTGTGGTAGATTTTCAAATTCTTCAAGTGTGATGGGTATTTCGAGTAATTGCCATTTATTTTCGTCGGGGAAGTGAGTGTAAATCAGCTGATGAGGGTCGGGAAGGAAGAAATATTCATCCAGTTGGTAGTGAAATTCCTCGGAGACGTTTGTCTGTGCTTGTTTGCCGATGATACGACGTGCAGCCCAGTGAGCATCAATCAGACACCAAGTTCCGTAGATGTAAACAGCGTTCCACGAATGTTGATTAGATCCTGGTTGGAATTTCATACCCGGATGGTAATCAGCACCTTTAGCGTATCCACTAATTATCTTGGAATGAAGACCAGCATAACTTAAAATAAACAAATAAAACATGATGTATTCAGATTATTTAAACAGCTAGCTCATTAACCAGATGTTACTAGGCTCCATCCTGTGTGTTTTTCCCCTGTGTAGGGCAGAGTGATGTCCCCTTGTCAGTGGTGTAGGACAGAGTGATGTCCCCTTGTCAGTGGTGTTGGACAGAGGATTTTGGCAAGGAAGAGTATCTAGTTGTTTTGATTGAACAGAATATTGAGGTCATGTGATTACAATTGGCCGTAATTTAAAGATTGACTGACAGAGACAGTGACAGAGAGAGTTTAACTCTGCAATATATCATTGTTGACTCTCAATTTCGATGGCTGACATCTTTAGGAGTAGCCAAACTATCTTAGCAAGTTCGCAAGAAAAATTAGAGAGCACACACACATGCGGTGTAGGCTACATAAATTAGTCAGTTGCTCGAAAATGTTGAGGGAATAAGTTTGAAATACTGGTTAAATAAATTAGTCACTCTTCAAAACATCGGCTAAATTGTTTGTCCAAAAGTATTCTAGTATATTGGTGTATTCAGTTATTAAATGCCTGTAAAAGGTTGTAATATTATATGACTTACTTGCACATTGTATCAAAAACCATAGCATAAGTTGTCTTGCCAGTTTTTAAACCCATTAATACTTCTTCAGGACTTCCTGCTTGAATATGATCAAAATTCATCTCTTTTAGATTTTTGGTTGCTAACCATCGGAAAATGACTCTGAAAAATTCAGCAATGTTAATTTTAAGTAATTAAGCGTATTGGAGAATAAATTAACATTAAGTGAAGAATGGACTGATTCGTATAAAACAGAGAGGACGTCTGCTGGACACAAACTAGGTCATTTAAGGAATAACATATGGTTCAATTTTATTTCAATTATATGCTTGCGCGTAGGTGTCATTAGCAGTAGGGGGTGGGGGAGGGGCGAAGCAGCCTGGGAAAAACCCATGATATTGGACAGATGACCTTATTCCTTGTCACGTTCCAGAGGGGAATAGAAAACATGCCCATGATTCAATGACAGACCTTACGATCTAACGTGCTAGTGTTTAGCTTTCAGCCACCCTGTACAATAAAGATAGCAGAAACCTTATTACTTTAATTCTGTATAAAATGTATAGAAACCAATATTAACTTGAATCTATGGATTTCAACAAGTTACCATGGTAACTCACCTGACTTTCTCGATTTCATTGGTTATATTTTTAGAGTAGATCAAATCCCAGACTAAATCACGGAAACTATTATGGTCACTCTTAGATACCTGATAAAACAAAAATAATACACATTATAAAATAATTTAAAATACATATGTCACGTCATCCTCTGATGTTGGCGTATCATTATTTCAAATAATGGTACGGGCAATGTGCCAAGCGTAAATTATTTATACCACTTAAAATTTTCGACCGGTATGACGTATTTCATTGCAAAGCATGTGCAAGTGTCTGTATTTCAAGCTGTTTAATTGTCTTGAGCTTAAGACATTGCGTAATATATTGAAACAACAACTTGTGATTACGTCATTCTTGTTGTTTCAATACATTACTTAATGTCTCGTTCTCGACCATTAAAACACACATTATAAAACAATATAATCCACATTATAAACGTATTTTCAACAAAAACCTAATTGAAGTTTTTTTGTAAAGATTGAGAAACTAAATGTTTGGAAAATAGCTTTAATAGCATTTGAGCTGGAAATACAGGTGATAATTCCCATGGAATACAAGAATATGTTTCAACCAAGCTTCTCTGTCATTATCTCATCTCATTTGCTTAAAGATACATTATGGAAGATTCGATAAAGAGCTGGCAGTTCTCACTATCATAGTTAAAACTAGATACTGTAAAGGGAATTTGCTGAAAATTTCAGTCAAATTGATTTACTATGAACTGAGATTTTAGCGATTGAATTTTCGACCTAGCCTCGATCATCATTACTAAAGTCGGTAGGATAAAAAACATAGTTTCGATTATCCATTTCATGATTTAATTATGAATCGAAGTCGAACAGCAAATCTGAACCTAATCCAATAAACATCGCAGGCTAGCGATGCCGTCGAGAGTTGATTATAATCTGGATAAGTTAATTACTGTCTAATCAATAAATTAGATAACATTTCAGGCCTAGAGAAAGACCTGCAATAGGTAGATTTAGCTCAAGCAATATGTATGTTTAATAAAGATTAGAGATTACTAGTTAATACAGAAAGTGAGAGAGAGAATGTATGTTTTTTACCTGTATAGCGTGATCATCAACACTCTTCAATACTTGTTTATCAATAGCATCTAGATTAGGTTTCACCTGACTCGAGGAAGCTGGGACAGGGGGAGGGGTGCTGGATTTCTCATTACGAACAGGAACCAGTTGAAAGTTGGATGGTACGGCTGGTGGCTGTTGACCGACGGATCTCTTCTCAACCTGAAATATCATACCGGTAAATTTAAATATCATACCGGTAAATATTATATTAACGGTAAATATTATATTAACGGTAAATATCATACCGGTAAATTTAAATATCATACCGGTAAATATTATATTACCGGTAAATATTATATTACCGGTAAATATTATATTACCGGTAAATATCATACCGGTAAATTTAAATGTATAGATGAAACATTTACTCTAGTCTGAATATATGGAAGATTTGGACAAGGGAACCTGCAATAAACACGAAATAAACCCTTTCATTATTGGTTACCACGGTTACGAGACTACTGAGCCTCTTTCTACTACTTATAGGGTTATTCTAAAAAAAATACAGAGTGGTGACCTAGCTAGTAACCGGGACCCATTTGGTCACCTGTTGTTGATATTCTGGTTCTAGACTGGCCCCGACACCAGGTCCCACAGGTGATGATTGGTGCAAGAGTGAAAAGCAATATATTACCTTATAAGGAGAGGAAGTGGCTGGAATGTTGGCTATGTTGGCCTTCTGTTGTTGAACACTAACAGCCTCGCCTGTACCTGGTGCATACGTGGTAGGTTGACCTTTACCTTGGGTGAAGGCCAAATTATTCATAACAGCCTGACCACTTCCGTCTGGTAGAGCACCATACAGATACTGTTGCTGTAGTAACTCAGGTGGTGGTGGTGGAAGATCATCATCTTGGTTGTAACCTTGGTTACCACCCAAATTCATGGCTTGAGTGGCATTGGACAGCTGTAAAATACAAAAACATTAAAATTACAATAACAATCAACAGAGATGTGGTTTAAGGTCCACTCAACAAAATCTGGACAACTTATTCCATCACTAAACATCATGAGAGAGAGAGAGAGAGAGAGAGAGAGAGAGAGTTGTATCTTGTCCAGTTTTTGGTGTTTTGTAAATGCTCACATTACTAACAAAAGAATAGAGAGAGAGAGAGAGAGAGAGAGAGAGAGAGAGAGGGAGAGAGGTGGGTATAATGTCCACTGACACAAACTAGGTCATTTTGGGACTAACATGTGGTTCAATTTTATTTCATTAATTTGCGTGGGGGTCTTTAGCAGTGCGAGGAAGCCGGAGGACCCGAAGAAAACCCATGAGGTTGGACGGGCGACCCTACTCCTTGTCACGTACAACCAGAGAATTGAAACCCCACCAGTTGACTCAATGACAGAACAAAAGAATAATTATATGACACCTTTGTGGACTGTTTGAATGACTTTGGTGCTGAGGAGCATGTTTCGTTGCCTGTGAACGCCATGTTTGAGTTGATTCTAGAAACTAAAATATACATTATGGAAGATTAGATAAAGAGCTGGCAGTTCTCATTATAATAGTTAAAGATAGGTTGCCAGGCAACGAAACATACGCCCACAGCAACTAAATCGTCCAGGCAGTCAACAAGGGTTGTCGCATATTTTTACTTTTTTCGGTAATGAAACATTTATAATACACTAAAATCTGATTAAGAGCAACAACTCACGAAGTAATTATCAGAAAACTATTAGAATTTGTTTGGTTTTTATAAAGTTCTGCCCCATGCTAACGTTTTGTATGCAAAGCTTTTAATATCATAGATTTAACTGTTCAAGTCATAAAAATTCATTGAAATTCAATATACTTGTTCGTCTCAAGATCTTAAACTCTGTGTATCAATCTGAAGTCTATCGGATGATAACTTAAGGGCCATAACTTTGGCAGTAATTATCGGAAATCGTTGAAAATCAATAGGAATCTTCGTCTCATGACCTCAAACACTGTGTATAAATTTAAACTCAATTGGATATTAACTTGAGCCTCAAGAGCATCCACAAGATTTTTTGAAGTGATCAAGGGCCATAACTCTGGCAGTAATTATCAGAAATCGCTGAAAATCAATAGGATTCTTCGTCTCATGACCTTAAACACTGTGTATAAATTGAAAGTCAATCGGATATTAACTTTGGCCTCTAGAGCATCCACAAGATTTTTCAAAGTGATCAAGGGCCATAACTCTGGCAGCAAATATTGGAAACTGCTGAAAATCAATAGGCTTCTTCGTCTCATGACCTTAAACACTGTGTATAAATTTAAAGTCAATCGAATATTAACTTTCGCTTCTAGAGCATCCACAAGATTTTTCAGAGTGATCAAGGGCCATAACTCTGGCAGTAATTATCAGAAATCACTGAAAACCTATAGGCTTCATCATCTTATGACCTTAAACACTTTGTATAAATTTAATGTCAATCGGATGTTAACTTTAGCCTCTAGAGCATCCACAAGATTTTTTGAAGTGATCAAGGGCCATAACTCTGGCAGTAATTATCGGAAATCGTTGAAAATCAATAGGTTTCTTCGTCTCATGACCTTAAACATTGTGTATAAATTTAATGTCAATCAGATATTAACTTTGGCCTTTAGAGCGTCCACAAGATTTTTTGAAGTGATCAAGGGCCATAACTCTGGCAGTAATTATCGGAAATCGTTGAAAATCAACAGGCTTCTTCGTCTCATGACCTCAAACACTGTGTATAAATTTAAGGTCAATTGGATATTAACTTTGGCCTCTAGAGCGTCCACAAGATTTTTCAAAGTGATCAAGGGCCATAACTCTGGCAGTAATTATCGGAAATCTCTGAAAATCAATAGGCTTCTTTGTCTCAAGACCTTAAACACTGTGTATAAATTTAAAGTCAATCAGATATTAACTTTAGCCTCTAGAGCGTCCACAAGCAATTGTGGACGCCGGCCGGCCGGCCGGCCGGACGGACGGACCGCCGGACGGACGGGGAAGACGACAATATACGACAACATTTCAATGTGGGCGTATAAAAACTAGATAATGTAAAGGGAATATGCTGAAAATTTTAGTCAAATTGTTATACTCTGAACTGAAATATTTGCGATTGAATTTTACACCTAGCCTAGGTCATCATTACTAAAGTTGGTACAATAAAAAACATAGTCTCGATTATCCATTTTTTAATTAAATCATCAATGAGCATTGAGCAGCAGATCGTATTCAAATCCAGCTAAAATCCGACACATAAAATGGCATCAAGAGTTGATTATGGTCTTTTCATGTTAAATGTCTAATTTAAAAGTTTACATAACATTTTAGGCCTAAAGAAAGACCTGCAATATGCAGATTTAGCTCTTGAATAATGTATGTTTAATGAACAGTAGACGACACAGGATACTGGGTTTTAAGGTGGGCTTGGGGAGTGCACCCCCTGAAAATATTTTAAAAAATGGGGTTGTCAATGGCTATTAGTGGATAATATTCTATACTGCAGGGAAGGATATTATAAAGAGTACACCATGTTTACAGTGTAAATGATAAACGATTTAATAAACTACTTGTTGATCAAATAGTCTGGGGTGAAACACAGTCATCTTTTTACGTCTAAATACAGACAATTGATGACGGAAATACGACTTCCTGTCACAACTTAATCTATTTATATCATAAATCAGTCTTGTAATCATTTTACTTCTACATCGTCTCATTCATGTTTTTTTATAATAAATATAGATTTTCCACGTCGCCATGCCAACTTGATTATATAATTATATACATTCATTCATCTCCAGATTACACCAAAAACATCATTAAATAACAAAATATATCGAAATTCAATCAAACATCATTATTAAGTCTGATGTTGATTTATGTGATAGAAAGTTTGTTTTGAGTCCAGCAAGGCTAGTCTTAAGATTGTTTATCCCTGGTGAAATACAATCTATAAAAGGGTCTCTTTTTAATGTGACTGAATTCAAACCAGAAAATAATTTACCTAAATTGGAGAACATTTTCGTGTGCATTATGCTGGGAGTAATAATATACAGATGATAAGCGACATTTCTAATTTAGGGCGAAATAGGGCGAAATGAAATGAAATGGAGTTTAACGTCCAACTGTTCTGCACTGCCTCGGCTAATGAAGACGGGCATACGCCATACAGTGTGCCATGAAGGAAATGGCCTACTCTTATATCAGATTCCAACTGCACATGCACATGCACATGCATGTGTATACAGGATCTTGGTTATTCATCCCATCCGACCAACTATACACAGTCCCATGCCTGACCCTCGGCATTGCAGCACTGACAAGGAGGAACCACACCATAAAATCCTGACTGTTTCGACCAGAGAGAAAGAGAAATGGGGTGTTACGTCCACTCGACACAAACTAGGTCATTTCGGGACTAACACATGGTTTAATTTTATTTCAACAATTCGCTTGCGCATAGGGGTCTTTAGGAGTGGGAGGAAACCTGAGGACCCGGAGAAAACTCACTGGGTTGAACAGGCGACCCTACTCCTCATCATGTACAACCAGGGGTTTGAAACCACGGCAGTCGACTCAATGACAGACCTCATAATACAGCGCGCACGTGCTAACCATTCCGCTATCCACTATCCACCACCCCCCCCCTCTGTTTCGACCAACACAAGGGTCTAACATGGGCGTAAACACATAACACGTTAATATGATAGACACAATGAAATATAATTCTTGATAATAAATTAGCAATTACAACTTACGTCATTCATCATTATGGAATTAAATTCTACAATGGAACGGCTAAAATGTGTGAATCCACCGGGATAGAACTGAAACAGGTCAGATATAAAACTATCCAACCATCATCATATAGAGAGAGGACAAGGTTTCACTTGTCATAATAAAAACTCACTGACTCATTTCATTGAAATTTGTTGACAAGTAAAATGATAAAATTTACAAGTAGATGTAAGTTAGAGGCTCGGGATATTGATTGTTAATCACAACAGCTGTTTCATTTAAATAAAACACATTCATTCTCAACATATCCAGACGACCAACTGTTGCATATTCTAATTCTTAAAGAGAGGGAGAGAGAAATGGGGTTTAACGTCCACTCGACACAAACTAGGTCATTTCGGGACTAACATGTGTTTCAATTTTATTTCCATAATTTGCTTGCGCGTAGGGGTCTTTAGCAGTGGGAGGGACCCGGAGAAAATCCACAAGGTTGGACAGGCGACCCTACTCCTTGTCACAAATTCTTAAAGAAGACAAACAGCGGTTGTATATTCGTAATACGGTGGCACAGCAAAAACAATTACACCATGTAAAGTGGAATAATTTAAACAATATTGTACTTTTGTCATTCACATTTCATATTTCCTACAATATGGCTGTTTGGTAACTTCACTCATTAAATAATATCAAAAAGATTTCAACCCAGGCTTATTTTTTACTACAATGTACTTGAATACTATTCAATGGTATTTCTTCTCATTAAAGGGGCATAATGGGAGATTAGATAATGACTTGACAGGTCTCCCTATAATAGTTCAAAAATAGAATATGCTGATAATATTAGATTCTGAAGTTTAGGCTAGCCTTAATCATCATTACTAAAGTCGGTATGATAAAAAAATTAGTCACGGCAGAGCCTCGTTTAACATGGTGACGCCGCCGTGCACTGGCCAAACTGTGCCGCTTCTGAGCCCAAAAGTTGAAGACTGGGCAGCATCATACATACGTTTTGAAAATCGCTGACAAGGTTTTTCCCATGTGCCAATACTATATCATGGTGCGTAGGTTTACAAAATCGTCTTTCTGATTGTTTTATGGGTATATTTCTGTCTGCGGGTCAGTCGCAGCAGTGTTTTGATCTCGATTTTACAGGGTATTAATCAATCCATGGTTTAACAAGATGCTAAAACTAATAGTGTATCAAATCTCCGAAATTATTTTTTAAGTGCTCAGAAATCGAGTCTAAGGGAGTCAATCTCTCACCTGCGGTGTTCGCGCGGCTTGCACCTATGGTGCGCGCTTCACACCAAATTGCCGCGCATGACCAAATCCTTGAGTCACGGTGATGCATTTTTATGTTTAATTATTTTTTAAAAAAATGCAATCCAATCCCCTAAATATCGCAGGATAGTGATGGCATCGAGAGTTGATTATGGTCTGGATAAGTTAATTACTGTCTAATAATTTAGATAACATTTCAGGCCTAGATTTAGATAACATTTCAGGCCTAGATTTAGATAACATTTCAGGCCTAGATTTAGATAACATTTCAGGCCTAGATTTAGCTCTTGCATAATGTATGTTTACTATTATACACACAATTTCAGGTTCTTTTTGTATGTTACTAAATTATATCCGTAATTTCTGGGCTTTATCAAAACCAAATTTGAACACCTTGTCTGATATTCCTTCTGACAGGTAAAACCAGGATTAACAAAATTATTTGGCCAGTTTTGTGGTTTTCATGAATATCATGTTCCAATTGCATTATTATCCATGCAGCCTGTAATCTTGTTTGAGGAAAAATTCACATAATGTATAGCCGTTCGGACGGTATGACAAAACGAGGTCCTGTGTACACATTGGCATACACATAAAAAAACCGCTTGGTACAGCACTTCTATTCAGGTAAAATTTCCCTCATAGCATAGTGTTGGTTCAAAAAATTGCGAGTTAAATCCAATTTCATTTCAATCTTCTGTAATAATTCCTCACCCTATTGATGACAATGATTTAATCTCTCACCCTATCCCTCAAGATATCAATCCCCTCACCCTATCCCTCAACATATCATCCCCTAACCCACACCCTCTAAACATCCTTCCCACTAATTCCTCTGCCAACTCAAATATGTTGGAATGTGTAAATAAAAAAACACTCACCAAGTTCGTATTAAAGAATATTTGATATCTAATAATATAATAGTTAAATCTCAACTGATAGTAAGACGTGAAATAATAGGTTAGAATTTATCTCTTGTGGGCACCACCCTTACTATATAAACCTGTCTCAAATAACAATACTACACTAATAGAGTTAAAATTACATGAACCTGTCTCACACAACAATGGGGTTAACTTGACAGCTAGTGATTGAAATATTTCACGGGGTTAAATAACATTAATAGTTACAGTGACAAACAACCTGAGATAACACCATCACAGTCTATCAAGTTTTATATATTTTAAACGTGTGATATAAAACAAAATGGAGTTTCAAGTTATATTAGAAACCAGGCTAATTAAGAGGGGTATACACCACACCTGTAAATCGGTATAACAGTCCATTGATACCAAGTTTTCTTCTAGATCAGGTGAGACAAACTCATTTTGATTCAGGTGTCAAATCAAGTGGGCAGGTGATATACAGAAATATCAAGATAAAACCAAACATTCTTGAACTTTACTCAATTCTAAAAACAAAGACAAACGTCCTTGACACAGGTAATTAATTTAGACTGGTTTTCAAATGAAATGAAATGAAATAGGGTTTAATGTCCTACTGTTCTGCACAGACTGGGCTAATGAAGACGGGCATACACCATGCAGTGTGCTATGAGGGAAATTTTGCCCGGACAGTGGCACTACGGCCTACTCTTATATCGAATTCCAAATGTCAAGGGATCTTTTATGTGCACGCCAATGTGTACACGGGACCTCGGTTTTTTGTCCCATCCGAACAACTAGACAGCTGTCCTTGACAGGCCCTCTGTCCTGCATCACTGACAAGGGAGAACCACGCCGGAAAATCTGGGTGAACTTTCTCGACCAATGTAGGGATTGAACATGCGACCTCCAGGCTAGCGAGCCAAGGTCTTACCCACCTAGCCACCGTGGCCCCTGTATTACACACAACTTAGTTATCTATGACATACAGTACAGAAGTCAGAGTTTTACTGAAACCAGAAAACAATAATAGATGATTTCCACCGCTAGTTTCTAAGAATTATTGACACGTCAGTTTGTTGAAATTTCTTCCACGGACCACCTTTAAACTCTTGGAGGGCCGGATCTGGTCTGTGGGATAGATATTTGACACCTCTGGTCTAGATGTTTTAAAGGTGTGAAATGACACAGAGAGAGAAATGGGGTTTAGTGTCTACCAGAGAAAACCCATGAAGTTGGACAGGCAGACCCTACCTTCTTGTCACATACACTTGACTGAAAGGCAGACTCTATGATTTAGCCATCTTATAAACAAATCATCTTATAAACAGTCCATCTTATAAACAAATCATCTTATAAACAGTCCATCTTATAAACAAATCATCTTATAAACAGTCCATCTTATAAACAGTCCATCTGATAAACAAATCATCTTATAGACAGTCCATCTTATAAACAAATCATCTTATAAACAAACCATTTTATAAACAGTCCATCTTATAAACAGTCCATCTTATAAACAGTCCATTTTATAAACAGTCCATCTTATAAACAGTCCATCTAATAAAAAGTCCATTTTATAAACAGTCCATCTTATAAACCATTTTATAAACAGTCCATCTTATAAACCATTTTATAAACAGTCCATCTTATAAACAAATCATTTTATAAACAGTCCATCTTATAAACAAATCATTTTATAAACAGTCCATCTTAAAAACAAACCATCTAATAAACAGTCCATCTTAAAAACAAACCATCTAATAAACAAACCATATGATAGTGTGGTCCCATATACTAAAATTAACCTCAAAATCAACTACCTGTAATTAGCCATGCCCCCCCCCCCCTTCCTCCTGCCTTATGATAAAAACTACCTAACAGCAAACCAACATATAGTGAGATCACCTGCCTCATACAAAAGCCTACGTCACAGTGAGCCACCCTATCGTGATGTACCCTACGTCACAGTGAGCCAACTTATCGTGAGGTACCCAGCCTCACAGTGAACCACCCTATTGTGAGGTACCCTACATCACAGTGAACCACCCTATGGAGAGGTACCCTGCCTCACAGTGTGTCACCCTATCGTGAGGTACCAGAGTAATTAATTGCATTAATCAAAAAATCTCATCTAAAAAAGTATTTTGATGATTTATAAAACTTTACTTACATAAAACATTCCAGTACATGTTACAACTCTTCCATCGTTTTTCGACATCATTAATTCAAATTATTAATCCATTTATCAAAAGACAATATGAAGTATCTATTTACTAGAGACTATCCCGAATTGTAATAATATACAGTAGATCTAGTATGATGTGGTATATATCCACCAGGGACTATCCTGTATGGTAATAATATACATGTACAGTAGATCTAGTATTATGTGATGTATAGAAGGGAGTAGTGGGAGATATTTGGTAGTTGAGTAGTTTTAAAACAGGAAATAACCTCTTTAATATCTAATATTACACCTATATTACATGTATATACTGTAACCATGTGATTATATATGAAGGAAAGCAACTATTATATACATATACTGTGACTGAATGTATATAGGCAGTTATATATATATACCCTAATCCTAGCAAACACCCAAGACAAACCCAGGGACAAGACAAACTTCACAGACACAACAAGAGACAAACAACACTCATTTCTGGACTAACCTATGGTTCAATTTTATTTCAATAATTAGCTTGTGCGTAGAAATCTTTAGCATTGGGTTGAAACCGGAGGACCTGGAGAAAACCCACAGGGTTGGACAGGTGACCCATCAACACCCTCTCCCCCCAAATATGAAGGAAAGCACTTCTATAAAGTTTGTCCCAAAACCGTCTTTATTTTACTAAGCCCACCTTAACAAAACAGTCTCAATGCCCTCTTGTCATACTGTTCGAGTGATGCTGATTTTTAATACAGAACTATCTCAGTGAAACCTACTTTTATAAAACAGTAAAATCAACCATGATTTAATAAGTTATGTCTGTACACCAACAGAAATCTACAGATGTTAAATAAATAGGATGAAATAAGATTTATAATAACATTTCCTCTTAGAACAAAACAAAACATATAAATATCACAAACTTTTAAAACGCTACGTGCTTTCATCTCGTGTTCTAATCATAAACAAACATCCTGACTAACAGATGAGACTATTCATCATGTGCTTTCATCTCGTGTTCTAACCCTAACCCTAACCCTAGATGAGACTATTCATCATACTAACTCTAACCCTTCTCTAAAACATGATAATCACAAACTTTCCCGGTTTTCTCACATATATTAAACAGTATTTATTTGTATACGTACAAATAAACTGTTATTTCTTTCATGATTTCATACAATATTTTTAATAAAGAGAGAAAGAGAGAGAGAAATGGGGATTAATGTCCACTTGACACAAACTAGGTCATTTCGGGACTAACATATGGTTCAATTTTATTTCAATCATTCGCTTTTACACGTCAGTTGGCTCAATGACAGACCTTATGATACAGCGCACACACGCTAACCATTCGGCCAACCACCCCCCTATTTTTAATAAAAGGACTAAAGTGAACAATGGTAGAGAAAATAGTCAAACATGCAAATATAATTTAATCTGTACAAGAAACAAAACTCAAGGGCCATAACTCTTCTTAAAGTAAGTCAATCCTAATTATTTAACAGAATGTCTATCAGCCGTGCCAGTATTGTTTATGATAAGTTAGGGAGTGGTGGACCAAGACAGTTATCACCTTGAGAATATAAAATAAAATAAAATATCTTTACATACCCCAGCTGAGTCTGGTTTGAAACCTCCTTCTAGTTCAGCTTGTTGTTGTGGAGAAAGATGACGACGTTCTGGAGATTCTTGGTAAAAAGCTTTCAGTTGTTCTGCTTGTGGAGCGAAGTGAACGTAATACTGAGAAATATGTGTGTAGGTTTCGCCATCTTTAGCTGGATCATTACCGTAAACCTCAATACCATATTCACCTTGCTGGGGTAAATTGGCCGTGACGATGATACGATCTCCAAGATCTTGCTCACTGATACATTGTTCCAGGTCTTCTTCTCTCAAACCATTCTTGCGTAACTTGGATAAAATAAATGCTGGGCGAGTCTTCTTGAACTCTATGTTGACCTTTCCGTTTGACGAGGTTATGATACCGTCAGTCGGCGTGGCAACCAATCCAATCTGATCCACGGCGATTCCAGCACCCCAGCTACTATCGGAGCAGTTAGGCAGAGCAACGGCATCCGGGGAAGTCGCATCAGCGATAACTTTATATTCTGCGGAGGCAGTGAAGACATTTTTTACTCCGAGTTCTCCGGTCAACAACTGGGCAAAGATCGTGAAATAGTACTGGCCTGATTTTGGAGCTCGGAAGATAAATGTTGTCGTCTGGTTCTTGCCCTGGTGTTGTAGAGCGTAACTTTTTAGTTTCTGACCCTGGTGCATCTCCTCATTATTACTGGTGAAAACTATTTTATATGTAAAGTTGGTTGGCTTGCTGAATCCAAGGGTCAAGGCCACACGTCCTTTCTTCGTCTGCACGACACCATTATGGTGTGAAATGAAGAACATTCCACATTTGAAGAAATAGGATTTGACCAAGGGAAGATTCTCGAAGTCTTGTAATGAAATTGGTCTCGATAGAAGTTGCCATTCAGATTTATGAGCCCAATGACTGTAGATCAATTGTTCAGGATCGGTGAGAAAATAAAAATCATCGTATTCATACACCTGAAGAAAAATAAAACAAGTTTACTAAATGAAACGTGTAAATTAACGGCTCATTATTGAACTTCGCCAAGTTCCAAAAATTATAATCAATGTTATCATCTTTAAAAACATGGCCAATCAAATTGTTTAGTGCAAGGCTAGGAAGGTCTACTCTTCATCCAATTCCAGTCTATCAATGTCTTTAACAGAGAGAGAGAGAGGGAGGGAGAGAGAGAGAGAGAGAGAGAGAGAGAGAGAGAGATGGGGAAATGGGGATTGACCTCCACATAACACAAGCTAGGTCATTTCGGGACTAACATATGGTTAAATTTTCTTTCAATACTTTGCTTGCGCGTAGGCGGAGGAAACCGGGGGACCCGGTGAAACCTATGAGGATGGACAGGCGACCCTACTCCTTGTCATGTACAACCCGGGAACTGAAACCATGCCAGTTGGCTCAATGACAGACCTTATGATAAAATGCGCATGCGCTAACCATTTGGCCATCCATCCCAAGCACTACCCCCAACAAGTCAACAATCCAGTCCACACTGGGAACAAGAATCCTGCAACCTCAGGACACGAGAGAGAGAGACAGAGAGAAATGGGGTTTAACATACACTCGACAAAACAAGATAATTTCGGGACTAACACATGGTTGAATTTTATTCCATTAATTCGCTTGATAAGGGTTTTACTAAATATAACTAATGTCAAAACTGAAATGCCATGGGAACTTTACATCTTCATCAACAGGTCAAGGTTATGTAGATAATTAAACATCAAAATTAGGAGTTGTTCCCCCTGATTTATCTATCTATATACATGTATGTCAGGGTTGGGACTAGTATTTTGGGGAGCTTGGATAAGGAAATCCCAAACAACAAGTGTGTAAGACTACAGTTGATTTCTGCATCGGTTCTGATTTTCTTCAAAGAATTCCACCCAAACATTTTCACATCCCCTCCAATATGTTTTAAGAGTCTTGTAGAAGGCGAATGAAATGGGGTTTAACGTCCTACTCTTCTGCACCGACTGGGCTAATGTAAATGGGCATACACCATACATTGTGCTATAAGGGAAATTTTGCCCGAACAGCAGCACTATGGCCTATTCTTATTTAGAATTCCAACTGCCAAGGCATCTTTTACATGCACACCAATGTATACACTGGACCTTGATAAGTCGTCTAGATAGCTGTCCTTGTAAGGCCCTCCGTCCCGCACCACTGACAAGGAGAAACTATGTTGGAAAATCCCATGAACTTTCTCGGCCAATTCAGGGATCGAACATGCGACCTTGAGGCTAGCAAGACAGTGTCTTACCCACTTAACCACTGTGGCTCTCTCAACTCAAATGAGAATGACTGAGAAAATTGCTCAGGATTTTCTGATTTGGTTTTCCCATTGTCAGAGTGACAGTGTGTAAGCCATTCGGATGAGACCAATGCCGTTGTCCGCAATGCCGTTGTCTGGGCACCCTACATGGTGTATGCCCGCCTTCATTAGCTTGAATAGAGCAGCACTGTACACAGTTAAACTCTATTTCATTTCTCCAAATAACAAACATCTTTTATTGTTGAGAATCTAAAGATAGAAACAGATACTCACCAAATTTTCTGGTTGATTTTTCTCAGAGACAAGATAACGCGTGGCCCAATGTGAATCAACAAGGTACCATTGTCCGTCGATCAAGATGGCGTTCCAACTGTGGTTATATTCTGATCCTTTAAATTTATCACCTGGACGATAATCCAAACCTTTCGCAAACCCAGTTAAAACGGTACATTGGAGTCCTGAATATCTGAAATATTAAAAACCAGTTAAAACAGTACATTGGAGTCCTGAATATCCGAAATATTACATACACAAATTGTATGAGCATACATTTAAAATGGCTAAATAGACAAGATGTCCTGGAATTCAACCAATTCTCTTGATTTTCCGGCTTTTTTTCCAGTTTTTCAGTGCTGTAGGAAGGAGAGAGAGAGAGAGAAAGAACTGGGGTTTAACGTCCACTCAACGCAAACTAGGTCATTTCGGGACAAACATATGGTTCAATTTTATTTCAATAATTTGCTTGCGCGTAGGGGTCTTTAGCAGTGAAAGGAAACCGGAAGACCTGGAGACATCCACAAGGTTGGACAGTCGACCCTACTCCTTGTCACATACAACCAGGGAATCGAAACCATGCCAGTTGACTCAATGACAGACCTTATGATACAGCGGGCACATGTTAACCATTCGGCCATTCAACCCCCCGGTGTAGGAAGGAAGGCATAGGAATCAAAAGTGTCTAATCTTTCGGATGGAACAAAAAACCCATGTATACCATTGGCAGCACGTTAAAGATCCCCTGGCAGTTGTAAATAGAAATAAGAGTTTCAACCAATGAGGTATCGTGATTCTCAAATTGGTTGATGCAATAACATCTCTCTCCTCGTAACAGTAAGTGTTTATCTCAGAAATGAAAACAAGACGTAATCTTATGTTTATATACCAACCTGCAGACAGTTTCAAACCCTAACTCTAAGACGTAATCTTATGTTTATGTACCAACCTGCAGAGAGTTTCAAATATTCTAGCATATGTTCCTTGTTTATTTTGAAAAGAGAGAATAACTTCTTCAGGGCTTCCACTGTTAACTTTACCCTTGAATTTAATTGTGTACATATTCTTTGACGTCATCCATCGAAAAATAGCCCTGGAATAAATAAAACAATAAATACAAACTCTAATCCTAACTCCATCTGCCTTAAACTACAGATGTGACGTCAACATTCAGATGCTGGAACAAGCCAATCAATCAATATTTATAGAAGATGGCTGTAACGTAAATCTTTCATAGAACCACAGGTGTGTGCTTGTACCCTAACTAATAAACACATATTAGTCAAATTATTGGGGGCCCGGGACTGAAGTCCTGGTTCCAACAGTCCTGGTTCCGACAACCCTGGTTCTGACAACCCTGGTTCCGACAGCCTTGGGGGTTAGGGACTGAAGTTCTGGTTCGGAAAGCCCTAGTTCCGATAGCCTTGGTTCCGACAACCCTGGTTCTGACAATCTTGTTTCTGACAACCTGCATTTGTTATCTGCATTTTAATGCATTGAGTAATATATATTGATCATGCCCTAATTTTGTATCATTTGATCATGCCCTAATTTGGTATCAATATACAGACGGAAATATTGTTGTTATAGAGAAATATTTACCTGGCTTTTTCTAAATCTGATTGATAATTCTGACTGTAGACCAGGTGAAATATCAAATCAACAAAATTATCATGGTCTGTCTGGGCTACCTGTAATATTGTAATTATATAAAATGTTTAATACTGACCACTAGTTATAAACTGACTGAATGGAGATGTATCCCATTATTGCAGGTAGAGGGGAGGGGTTATTGATGTTCAACTGATAGAGGGGAGGGGTTACGTTACTGATGTTCAACTGGCAGAGGGGAGGGGTTATTGATGTTCAACTGGTAAAGGAGAGGAGTTATTGATGTTTATCTGGTAAAGGGGAGGGGTTATTTATGTTCAACTGGTAGAGGGGAGGGGTTATTGGTGTTCGTCTTGTAGAGGGGAGGGGTTATTGATGTTCAACTGGTAGAGGGGAGGGATTATTGATGTTCAACTGGTAGAGGGGAGGGATTATTGATGTTCAACTGGTAGAGGGGAGGGGTTATTGGTGTTCATCTGGTAGAGGGGAGGGGTTATTGATGTTCGTCTTGTAGAGGGGAGAGGTTATTGGTGTTCGTCTGGTAGAAGTGAGGGGTTATTGATGTTCAACTGGTAGAGGGGAGGGGTTATTGGTGTTCGTCTTGTAGAGGGGAGGGATTTTTGATGTTCAACTGATAGAGGGGAGATAAAAATAATTGCCAGCCTACCTGAATAGCATGGTCATCAACATGGTAAAACTGTTGTACATCACGATAGATATCAAACTTCCTGTATCGTGAACGAACAGGACCAGGGGTTTGTTGTTTGCCCTTTCGGACATCTATAGGCTGGAAATTGGTCGGAGCTTTCACCATTTCTACGCCCTAAACTCAGTAACAGATCTGAAATTATAAATAAAGACAGGGATTTATTGATATGAGACATGGTAGTTCAGTTAGTTTCAGTCTTAACACAAGGTACAATTTTATGGATACACAATTTACTGAGTTTAATAGAAAGCGACATTTCGACGTGGATACTCTCGTCATTATTTGTATCATTTGCTTGATAAAGACGAGAGTATTCGCTTAGTATTAAACTCAGTAATTGTGTATCCATAAAATTGTACCTTGTGTTAATATGTTCAATTTCTAAATTCCAATCAAAGAAGTTTTAATCTTCCCTATAAAACCAATATTCTGGTGCCATTTATTAATTTATCATATTTACAGAAATTCACTTTATCTCATTCAGGTTGCCACAGATGTGTAAATGTTTTTATTTTTTATTGACCATTTTCAGTGCCAAGGAAAATCAATTGTTGTATTTTTATTTCTAAATTACAAAATGAAATGAAATGGGCTTTAACGTTCTACTGTTCTGGTCCAGCTTGGCTAATGAAGACGGGCATATGCCATACATTGTGCTATGCTATGACAGAAATTGTTCCTGGACAGCGGCGCTACAGCCTACTCTTATATCGAATTCCAACTGTCAAGGGATCTTTTAAGGGATCTTTTAAGGGCACACTATTTCATCCCATTCTAACAACTATACAGCCTTCACCTTGCCCGGTCTGTATACAGCCTTCACCTTGCCCGGTCTATATACAGCCTTCACCTTGCCCGGTCTATATACAGCCTTCACCTTGCCCGGTCTATATACAGCCTTCACCTTGCCCGGTCTATATACAGCCTTCAGATTGTCCATGGCCCGGTCTGTATACAGCCTTCACATGTCTGGCCATAATTCTTATATTTAACATTTACAACTAAGGATACATTATGGGAGATTAGATAAAGATCTGGCAGTTCTCACTATAATAGTTAAAAACTAGATAAAGTAAAGGGAATTTGCTGAAACCAAGAATTTAGCGATTGAATTTTGGGCCTACCCTCGATCATCATTACTAAAGTCGGTATGATAAAAAACATAGTCTCGAATATCCATTTTTTGATTTAATCAGAAGCAGCAGACTGGGTTCTAATCCAGTAAATATCGCAGGCTTGATTATGAGTTGATTATGGTCTGGATAAGCTAATTTATGTCTAATTAATAATTTAGATAACATTTCAGGCCTAAAGAAGGACCTGCAATTGTCAGATTTAGCTGTTGTATAATGTATGTTTAAGATAAATATCTTTTATACTGTAGATAATTGTAAATGATGATATTAAAATATATCTGCTGTATTTATGTGATTGTTGTTGTTTAAATACATAAATAAAATCCATGGGAATCTATTATAACATCTACAGAACATATATCACTGGACGATATTTATCATAACATCCATAGAACCTATATCTATTACTGGACGATATTTATTTATATATAACAATTGAAGACTGGGTCACAGTGACAAGTGAACATTTCTATACATCAAATATCAAACTGTGCAAATATATACCAGTCTACTGAGGCCACCTTCGTTACACCAGTCTTTTGAGGCCACCGTCATTACACCAGTCTATTGGGAGCACCGTCATTACACCAGTGTATGGGGGCCACATTTATTACATCAGTCATCTGTTGGGAATTTTAGTAAATCACAATATTAAATCTATATGGTGTGAATGTTAAATTTGGAAATGAGAGATCAACATGTGGATGATGCAATGATGTGTTATTTTCTATAAGACAATAGTTCCCGGATACCCAGTACCTAGAGTATATTACAACTAGACTACTCTATATATATATTGTACTACAGACAATTTGTCGATTCAGCTAAAATTATACAGACAATTAAACACACTATTCAATCAATAGACATGGTATATCTTATTTCATTATAACAAGTAGGAGCTGTAGGCTGAATAACTAATGGCCGAACTAAACAGATAATGTCTGGTAGACTGGGACCTCTACCCTGGCCGAACTTAACGGACAATGTCTAGTAGGCTCAGACCTCTACCAAAAAATAATTAAATGAGTAATTACTAATTAGGTAAGGGTTACTGGTAGACTAATATTTCCGAGACAGATGAAATGTCAGAGGTTGATTTAATCCAGGATTGCTTTGACCTGGGAAATGGGTCGAGCTGAACAAATCAAAAGTTGACTATGCCTACTAGATCAAAAAATCACATTAAAAAAATGGGTCATTTTCCCTCCTTATTGACAGATATTTAGTGAATAATCATTCCATGAGAGATAAAATAAGGGCCAGATAATTTATCTCTTTTTTGGGGATGGCGTGGGGTGGCAGTGTGTGGAGGGGGGGGGAGCGGACTTTTTCCCTAGATACACACTGACAGCACAATATGTAGAAATACGCTCGCTTATTAATTTAACCACATGTTTTGTCATCAGCAATTTTATTGATTTTCATGGTTCTTTATAGAATCCATCTTCAACACAATATAAAATAAGGAAGTTACATGTGAGGGAGTTACATATAAAGGAGTTACAAATTAGGGAGTTACAAATGAGGGAGTTACATAAAAAGGAGTTACAAATGAGAGAGTTACAAATGAGGGAATTACAAATAAAGGAGTTACAAATTAGGGAGTTACAAATGAGAGAGTTACAAATGAGGGAATTACAAAAGAGGGAATTACAAAAGAGGGAGTTACAAATGAGGGAGTTACAAAAGAGGGAGTTACAAATGAGGGAGTTACAAATGAGGGAGTTATATATATTCAGTGACAAACTACAAACACAAATTGTCATTTCCAGGCCTGTGCAATATACAGAAGGTAAAATCCATGACAAAACTATATACACAGAACATCAAAGAGGCCATTGTTTGGCATTAGTGTAAAGATAATCAGATATCCGACATAAAACACATTCCTCTAGAGACAATTTATAAATATATTTAATCAAGCATCCCCTAGGTAAATATTTAGTCATATGAACAGTCAACATAATAAAATCATCTGATAACAGCCTTTGAAATCAGTCAATCTTTACATTAACGAAGCGAGCGAGCAACAGTTAATCTGATCAACAGTAGATATTAGAGATACAATCATTGTCGTTACTACTATTGTTACGATCATAAACAATGTCTTGATTATCCAGTTTTATGGTAACTGCATCAACCACAAAACGTATTTAGGTGTTACACAATATATGTTTGAAGGGGCGGTGGGTTGCTAGTGTAATGAAGTTAAGGATACCCTGCCAGGCCCTCCATTCTCCACCCCTAACAAGGAGGAACCCTGCCGGAAAATCTTAATGGACTTTCTTAGTCATTACTGTGATTGTACACCGGACCACCTAGTAAGTGAGTCAACTTCTTACTCACCGAGCCAACATGGCTCCTTATCACAAGAGAATCATTGTTACTCCTAATAAATTCCGTAATTATAGTTCAAAATCAAAAGTTTTTTTGTTTTATCTACAAAAACCACTGTTAGCATTACAGAAATATGTTGGTAAGTTTTGTTTTTTTTTACAAAAAGAGAATTATAATAAATATCAATTCCATTATAACTTTAATATCAGTAATTGATAAAACTGCTGCAATTTCATTTATTACTTTTAATGTTAGTGAAATTGTTTTTGACAATTTGTTGTACTGTATGAATAATGTCAGGTCATGGGATGATATTTCTAAAGGTTATTATAACACATCATGATAGAAAGTCAATGGAGAGTAATCATTGTGTTCGAGGAAACACATGAAAAATAATCAAATGTTGGTTAATGTCGTTTTCTGAAACAAGCCATGAAAGTCATTCAGATACATTGTAGTACAAAAACCCTGGTCTGATGTACTCATCGGCGCGCACGTAAAAGACTCCTGATTTATCTATGTATTCTTCAAGTAAAGGTTACAACATGACAATAAATAATATAGGCTAGATATGAAATAAGAACTATGTGCTGTGAAAGTAAAATGAGACGAGAATAGAGAAGTATGATAGGTATGGTGTCATGAAGAGACTTTTACTTAGGAGCCCCATAAAGCCTGACGTATATAACATCTGTTGTTTATTTTCAATGGGGTCCAAATACCTGACAATTAAAGTTTAATCCATTTGATAGATATGGTGTCATAAGGAGACCTTTACTTAGGATAGTCCATAAACCCTGACGTATAGAAAACATCCTTGACACCTTGAAATTGATGAGGAGTATAAAGAAACGCTGCTGTCCGGGGAAAATTTCCCAATCAGTGCAGATCAATAAAACTAAGACCTCATAACAAAAATTTCCAGTTTGAAAAATGGAACTTAAAGATGAAAATAAAACCGATAAGGAAACTGGTTTGAGCTTGCACAATCTAACTTACCAAACTTAGAAACCTGGTTTGCAAAATTTCACAATTTAAGGTAGAAAACTGTTCGAGCTTGTACAATTTCACTAAAAAAACTGGTTTGAGGTTGCATAATTTCACATCTACCTGTTCTCCAGTAGAATATTAATCAATTTGAGTTTCTATATACCACTGATAGAGTTTGGTACCACTGATAGAACCTTGGTGATATGTTTAACTCAACGAGTTTCGTTAATCCATGACTATATACCACTGATAGAGTTTGGTACCACTGATAGAACCTTGGTGATATGTTTAACTCAACGAGTTTCGTTAATACGTGACTATATACCACTGATAGAGTTTGGTACCACTGATAGAACCTTGGTGATATGATTAACTCAACTATGAGATGATTGAGTAACAACTATACCATATTAACTTCCATCATTTTCTCTTCTCACACAACCAGATATCTCACTTACCCAATATCCAATCAAACCAAACACATGATCCACAGGTTGGCGTAGTTTTACCGCTCTCCGGTCAATATAATAATTACAGTAACAGGCTGATGAAAGACAGGATTAATTATCGACACTCGGTCATAAATATTCCATAAAGTTATTAAATAGCCGACAAACGACCAGACACCTTTTTGTTATTATCATGAGTGTTATTATATGTCTTCCT